AAGCTTGTTAAAAGTCTCCGCTCACGTTCGACGCGCCGCGTACGCGTCTTTTGACAAATACACAGAGTCGGCACGAGGATCGCGACTCGTCGCTGCTGCTGCTGCTGCTGCTTTCACCTCTTACAGCGGCGCACTTGCGAGGAGAACCCCGAGGAAACGTACTTTTTCAACTTTAATAAAGTATATAAATTGCCAACGAGGCAATAACAAATTGATATTTGTTTTCCGTGCCTCGGCGCGCGTTTATCGGCTCGGCGAGATCGACATTTAGGAAATCATTATTTTTCGCTTTTCATACACGGTAGGAAGCAAAAATGTATTGAAAAATCGAGTTCGAAAAATGTTTCCCGCATCGCGAGCTTTTTTCCCTCGATTCTCTCGGTATATAGTTCGCGAGTGCACCGCGCGCGCGTGTTCTCATTGCAAACAACTGTCCGTCCATGTAGTTATACTACGTCGGGTATAAACAGAGAAGCTCGCCTGGGAAAAAACGTGGTCACGGGGCTCGCTTTTTTTTCATCGCAATTGTGAATCGTATACGTTGTATGCGCGCGCGCTCGCGTAGTTTTCATTACATCGGCTTTACAAAGGATGAACTCAATTATTTTCCGATTGATTGAGTCCTTATGCCCATAGACAGCTGCTGCTGCTCCTAGCTACTGCCTATTGGTACGCGGCGATGAAAAGCAGCAATGGAACGAGAACGTTGATGCCTAAAAGGAAAAAGGGCAAAAGTTTCGTGCGTTGCATAGGCAACGTTTGATTCGTAATTGATACATCGGGCTATTGTTATCGACAAATTTTTACATTTCTTCCGACCTTGGCTCTGTTCGTGCCCCATGCTCGGCGTAGCCAGCCAGCCAACATTGTTTTTGACGATGGATCTCGTTTGTGCTGCGTCGAGACAAATTGCGCTGTCGATATCGACGATATGACGCGTTGTGTATAACACGAGTACATATCGGAGCCGAAAATTGTGGGCGCGGAATAAGGGGGCTGCTGTATGTCTGCACGCGAGCACACATCGACTCGTTACATGAACTCTCTCGCGTACATACACGCCACTTAACGATCCAGTTTCATTCGAGTTTGGCGCGCGCGCGCGCGCGTCATTTATTTTCCTCGGCATGCATACATGTACTGCTATGCCGCCAACATCTCGCACCGAGTATATATATACGTGTGTTATAGCCGAGTAGTCAGCTCGTTGACGTCGCGTTGTTTTTTGGTATTTTTTACCGTTGTGCAACCGTTCGCGCATGCTGCAAGTACAACAACGCGTACACAACGGAACGCGGGGGCCGCCGCCTGCACAGCAGATCTTGTGTGTGCTGCAGCTCGTCGTGACAATTGAAATGTCAAGTGCAGCGCGCGCGCCCGAGCTGCAGAAAGCAGCGTTGGTACATATACCAGCGCACATATAGTAGCGGGTAGTAGTTGCAAAAGTTGCTGCGAGAGAGGCAAATATTCTCTCTCTCTCTCACTCCGAGTGTGTACGTGTGTGTATAAACATGCAGGCATGCAGCCACTAGTAGTACGAGCGCAAGAATAACCGAGAGAGAGAGAGAGAGAGAGAGAGAGAGAGTATGTAGAAGTAGATCAGCAGCGAGAGGCGCGTGTTTTTGTGTCCCATATACGTGTCTGCGCGTGTGCATGTACGTGGAGTAGAGAAACAAACATAATAAGATTCGTGCGGAGCAGTATGAGTGCGTAAGAGAGAGAGAGAAAGATAAAGAGAAAGGACAAGGGAGCAAAAGAGAAAGAGAGAGAGAGAGAGAGACTGAATGTAGAGTTTGAATAGAGTGCTCTCTCAGCAAATTGGAGCGCTCGGAGCTTTTCTATTATCAGACCTCGAGCCGAGGCTCTCGACCACGCTTCGCGTGCTTACTAACGCTGCTGCTGCTCTGTTGCTACTGCCACTACTCCTACTGCTACTGCGCTGTCTCTTCTTCCTCCTCCTTCGGTGTGCGCTACTGCTGCTTCGCGTACTCCTTAAAGCTCGGGCGCCCACCCTCTCTCCATATATAGCTCCCTCCACCTCTCTCTTTCTCTCTCTTACTCTGGCAACAAATGCAAGTATCATTTTCGCGGCTTCCTCTCTTTCTCTTTCGCTTTTATAGATATATATATATGTATATACCTTGCCTACTTCATACACTCGTACATATACCCTATAATGCACTACTACTTCTGGAAGGGGCGAGCTGCTGCTGCTGCTATCTGCACTTCAAAGTAATTGCTCTCGCACGCGCACTTCTTCTCGCCGCGGCAGCAAACCTTCGCGCTGATGCTGCAGCAGCACGTGAAAACGTGAATCTCTAGACAAACAGCGCGCCCCCTTCCTCCCTCCCCGACTGCCAGAGTATAATATGTAGCATCGATGTTTGTTCATTTGCTCGGCAAAGCTCGATCTATTATTTTTTTTTTTTTTTTTTTTTCAGGTGTAGGTATAATTTTATAGGTCCGTTGCGATCGTGTATTACATACAGAACGGACGATGTAATACGAAATGTGTACTCAGGCAAGATGTTTACCCTCTGTAAGTTATATATCTACGCGGATTGTAACTTGCATGTGCGCAACCACTGTATACGGCTAACGGAGTAATTTCATGCATAATTAGCCAGGTCCGGTTAATTAATACGCGCGGCGAGGCTCGAGTCCGTTACGATTGCGAGCGCGCGGATAGTCAGACATAAACAGAATCGAAGTTATCCGATCGCACAGCAGCAGCATCGTGACTGCAGCCGAGTACGTTATTATATAGATATAGGCTATATTACGTTGTAATGTTTGCGCGCGCCTGGGCGAGAGCGAAGCGCAACAGAGTGGAGTTTGCAAAGCGCCAATATAAACAAGCTCACGGATGCACACACAAATTTATACATATATGGCAGATGAACAAACGACGCGCGCGACTGCATATATATATATATAAGAGAAGAGGGAGGCTGAGGGTGAGTCAGTCGAATATACGTATATTGTATATATATCCAGGCCATATTTATATACCATCGTCTAAAGCTCTACCTGCAGTCACACATACGTACTTATGTATATGCCCAATCTGTGGGCTAACTCTGTGTATGCGTGCTCCAGAATGTACATAATCAAACGAAGTAGCTATTCAGGGGAAAATAGGATACGACAGTTTTTCGTACACGAAATATTAATGTAAAACTCAGAAAAACGGAAATTTTCGGGATAAGTTCATGAACGTAATTATCCGAAAAATTTTTAGTACAGTAGGGGAGCTATACAGGACCTGGCACACTGCGGACCTGGCACACCTCGGAACTTGGCACACTTGTGGAGCTGGTACACCGCGCTGCTTCCCATGGTACAGACCTGTCCGACCCACCCTCGGAGCACCCCCTCGCACCCTCCGCGAAGGGTTGAAAAAGCGGTGACTAACTCAAACATTACCCATTTATTTTATGAAAACCTCTTTAGCCGAGGATAAATATGTACGGAAAATAATTTTTTCTCTAATCCAAAAAGTACATTTTACCTCTTATAAGCCATTCGCACTGTTTTCAAAAAAGAATTAAGTTTTATCATTGATAGGAAAATATTTTTAATTTTTCGGATATTTACCCCCTTTCATCGAAAGTTTGCACACAGTAGTGTATGCCTCAACATTTGACCAATATAAATGTATGCAGATAAAATATTTCATATTTCAGATCTGATATATTTATTACAGCGACTTTTGCCCTTCTTTCACTTGAAAGGCAATTTCATTAAAGTAGTACGTTACTTTTTGAATATTTACACGATGCTCGAAATTATTTTAAACTAATACTTTGCAAAGACCCGTATTTTTCTTTGCACACAATCGATCCTCCTTACTTTTTAAGCTTTGCAAACTCATTGCCTCGACTTTGTAGAAAAAAGTTAGAAATTTTTCTGGAATTTACTAACTTCCAGAAAAAAAATATTCTAACAGAGTCTAAGCATTTTAAAAGAAGATTACTATTGTAATTGTAGATGAAAACATAAAAGTCAAAAGCCAATCAAGTGTGAACTGAGCTTTTATCACCGGAAAATTCCCGTTTTGACACATACTGAATTACAAGTTTCATCAGCTTCTGAGATTTTTTCTTCGTTTAGAAAATTTATTATGAAGATTATTATACAAATACTGTAAAGTGCATTCTACGAAATGTTTACTCTTGAATTATTATTATTATTTTTTTTACAAAATCATTTAAACAATTGCACATTACATTGAAAGTACATTTAAACATTTAAAAAAAAGAATACATTTTTTTGATATTTTTAATTTTTTGCATATAATTAATCAATAATTCAGGATCATTTATCACATCCACTTTTTTGAAGGAAATGATTGTATGTGAGCCATGGAACATTGTTACACATCAAAGATTCATAGGTATTTTTAATGGACATCATATTTAAACTTATAATTTATGCCATCAGCTAAATTTAAATCTTTTTTTTTTTGCATTGGTTTCATACGGGCATCAAACTTTGACCAAAACATTCTAATAAATTTTATCATTTTTATTTATGGAAAGTGTGAATACATCATCAAATATTTTTTGAGTAACTTAAATATTTCAAAATTCTAAGATTGTAACACAAAAAAAGTACAAAAAAATTGTTAAATTTTCCTTTTGGGCATAAAATGTTAAATTATACAACTTACTAAAATTTTAATGATAGACAGTAATGTGAAAAATTTCATTTTCAATCTGACTATTTACTTAATTTACATTTATTAAGTTACTTCTCCAATGCAACAACTAAACAAGATAAAAAACTAAAAATCATTTATTATGACATTTTAATTTTTTGAATAATTAATATTAATAAAATAACATAACTTATGAAAATACAATACTATGATGCTACAACGTAACGTAGTTCAAATAACATATGTTTGATTCATCAAGAATATCACAACCGTACGTAACGAACCATACATATTGAAAAACATATTACTAGAAGAATAAAAATAATTCATAAAAATGTTCCTATTCTTTTGAAAAAGATTGTAAAAGCTTGATCAATACAGGTTTTTTCATCTTCTTTATTTTTTCTGGATCGATAATTGATTTAGAGTTTAATTTAAGGAAATTATGTACATTACTTTCCAAATCCATTGCATTGTATTTCTGAGCAGCTGATAAAATCTCAATAGCATTTTTCGTAGACAAATTGGCGGATAGGATTTTTTCACACATAATTTTCAAATTATCAACTTGATATTTGTCTGCTACTGCTAAAATTTCTAGAACTATATCTGTCTTGGTACTCACAATATCACCTGTGTAAATGAATCGCAACATTTCAACCAGAATATTATAAGGAGTATCAGTGATCTCAACAGAATTGCCTTTGTTTTCCAACATATCATGAGTAAACATGGCTCTAAATACTGGACTGGCTACAGCAAGGATGTTTTTATGGGCTGGGATGTCATTATCATCAGAAGTTATTAATTTAACATCACTAAATTCTTCACTGAGTAACAATGAGTCCAAGTTCACTTTATTATTCATCTGATCTTTGTTGTTGATGATATCTACATCCAATGAAGATTCATATTTCTTGAAAACTTCTAATTCACATTGAATAGTTACAGTATTCTCGGAAGAAATTAATTCTTCAATATTTTTCAGTTCGTAAAAGCTCAAACCACGGCCGTGGAACTCTGTGGTTGCAAAATCGTGATGTAGTGTAGATTTTCGAACAACTTTTTTGTTATTAATAGCTGATAATGTCCATCTACATACGAGCTTATTCGGTTTCTTCGTTGAATCAGTTATAGGTTTAAGAAATAACGAAATGTCTGTATATTTCTCACTGCTGCCTGCAGGGTATAATTGCAAAGTGAAGTATTGTTTATTGTCACTTCCAACGCCAAATTTCGGGGATGCTATTGGTTCCCCAACTTTTGATTTTATTAAGCGATAATTCTTGATCGTCCATGTATAAATGCACTCATTAGAAATGACTGTAGTGGAAGCCTCTATTCGTTGTTTCGATGGCATTTTAACTTTAGTACAGCTGGCGGTTTTTGAAAACTCATTCGATGATCGAATGAAACTTGGAACGATTCCTAACAAAATGATTCACTTCAATAAAAACACAGAACAAGTTCGTACAGGTTATTCCAACACTTTTACAGGGTGTCTATATAACTTGTGAGGTTCGTAGATTACAATTATTTATTCCACCGTCCACCGCACTTTATGATTTTTTATTTTGTTGTGACTTATATTTTGAGTTATGAGAAATCAGAAATCAGAAATCGTTGGTATTTACTATTTAGTTGTGGATACAGTTATGTATGATTTTGATACAGGTGGCGTATGGCGCTACTGTACAAACATATAACTTTTGAATTGTATTCACATAAGTAATGCCAATAAAAATCTACTATAACTAAACATACATTTAGACACAGTACAAATATCTCTCTACTGGCTAATTTACATTCACATTTTTATTATAATTTACATTCTTATCTTATTCATCTCGGAGATGTTTCAAGTGTTAAAATTAGTTTTATGTATATAAATTTAATTATTGGAGACATTACAATATTCAGTTTTGCCTTACAGTATTATTCAATGATTCATGAAAATCTTGCAGAGATCAATCATTTCCTTTTTTTCATGGATGTTTTATAATTCTATAAGTCACGATCTAGGTAGATGAAAAGGTTGCGATCTATCTATGACTACGTTAATGAGTTAAGTTGCTCAATTTGATTTCGCAATTAATCGGAAAAATTTTTTTTCTCCATTTTTGTATTTATGATTGATAAATTAAATAACCAGGGTTATTGACAAATAATTTGTAATATTTAAAATGTTAAAATTTTAGTGTTGTGTTATTTTGGTTTAATTAATAATAAAGTAGAGAAAACAATTGTGAAAATCATCTTGAGATAAAAGCATACTATGCCTTGAAAATGTTCATTAAAAGTTCAACCTTAATAAGATAGATTGAACGATCAGGAAATAGTCACTAAAAATAAGTTACTTTGCGTTGCTAATTTACATTCCAAAGTTACAAATTGTGTTAACAATCAAGTTATCATCTTATACTTCTATTACTACAATTTTTTTTCTAAAACCGGTACTCCTTTCAATCATGTTTAATAACTTATAAATAAGTTTGGATTCCGGCAAAGTATTGTATTAGTTTTTATGAATCAACCTGACCGATTCATTGTAAAGTTTTACGATTCGATTATAATAAGTATTAAAACATCAAAATAATCGTCAAAGATGTACTAAGATTATAGATTCAAAAGAAAATAAATCCCAGGTATCTAAATATATCGATCTTCGATCAATATCATCGCAAACATTTGTTAAATTGGCGGCACAGCCGACGGCAGCACTCGGCTGGAGCCGCCGAAGTTATGTAGAGTGAGCCGATATTTTCACTTTTCATTCCGTCATGAGCATACTTGAATAAATACCGATCACATGACAGCGAGCGCCACCATGATTCCGAGGCAGAAAATCGTTTCCGTGTGAGTAAGATAATCATTAGGCCGGGTGCATAAGATTGCAATTTCAAGAGGACTTTTTTTGGGACTTCATTCGATCGCTGTACTTTTGATGAAAGTGCAGTCTAAAAAGCATGTGAATAATCAGTTTTAATGAAAAATTTAAAGCTTTTTCAGAATCTGACCGTAGGTTTCTGAAAAAATGGATCAGGTTAAAAGTTATACTTGATTTTATAAAAAAAAAAGCGCGAATTTGGAGAAAAAATTTTTTAGTAGAGTAGCGGCCGGCTGGCTTCGAAAGCCAGCAGCGCCGTCGTCCAGTGGGCCCGGGCGCGTCATCGGCAAGCGAGGTCAGTCCGAAGTTCGTGCTGAGTCTCGTGGCTCAGCTGCAGCTGCGAGTCACCCCTTCGGATTCGTCACGAACTCGAAACCGATCGTCGCCGCGACGACGAGCCCAAAAAGTGATAAAGCAGCATCGGAAAACGGCGACACGACGACAACGACGATGACGACGACAGCATTCCACGCGGGTGTAGTAGCGCGAAGCCATCGCTGCGAGATCTAGGCACCGGAAATCGGATGGTCCTGCAGTACCAGGTGCCACACATAAAGGCAATGTTTCTGCCACTACTCATGGAAATCGCATCGCCCAAGGAATGCTTGACGCATGCTCAACTCGATCGACGAGGCACCGCTGCCTGGAACTATTCACGAGTTATTTTGTCGTTTTGATAAAGAAAATTGAAAATTTTCATAAAAATTGCTCACGGTCGATTCTATGATACAATTATCGCGGCTTAAAATTTATAAACTAAATTCACAGCTAGCGATATTAATTCTTATTTTATAAAAATAATATAAATGTGCAATATGCCCTTTAATCATTTTAATATAGAAAGAAATTCTGTATATTTCAGCATACTGTTGAAATTATTTATTTACATGAAAGGAGGATAATTATAAAAAACGGCAAATCATGAACACAATGAACAAATTCAATGAATTTTCATAAATTTTTTCAGCAAAATTTAGTATCAGATTTAGTATCAGGACATTCACACAAGATTTTCCCTGCTCAATCAGCTCAAACTTTAATGGTGAGGGAATTAAAAAAGCTTAAAATAACTGCTAAGGAGTAATTTTTGAGCATTATGCGTAAACAAAAATTCCGAGAAAAATATAAGCTTACGTAGTTTACCGCAATAAAACAGTGAAAAAATGCCGACTTTAATATTAGCTCAAATCGCCCGTAATATATCTTTCAAATGTTCAATAATTTTTTCTGAAGCCCTGGAGCCTTTAAGAAATATTAAAAAAATGCTACATTGTTTGTACTGTTCAAATGTTCGTTCATAAATTATTTTGGATTTTTTCAGTTAGAAGCGGTGGCTTTGGAATCGGTATTGATAGATGTCCATGTGGATTCTGGAACTTACGAACTACTAATGGGTTTGAAATATTTCTACTCCTAAAGCGCGTCCAAATCATCGATATTTTTACCCGTGAAAGGATATAATTTCTTTTGAGAATTTCCTGAAAATTCAAAAATTTTTAAACGTTAATTATAAATACTTTCATTTCATGTAGATGTTAGAATAATGGTACACACTCACAAAAATCGAGATTCAATATTCAAGTCGATTCATGTAATTGCCAAAAATCTGCTCACAATATCGAAAATAAAAAAGTTTAAATGACAGTCATAACCGTAATGCCTCATGTTGCATTTCGTATTTACCGCCAAAGTTATAAGAGCTTTGATCTGCGTCTGCTGCGAAAAATTGGCATGTGCTTTGTTATTCATACACATTCGCAGTTGCACGACTATCCAATGCAATATAAACGTCTGCTTATAGTAAAGAATTCGTTGGCAAACAAGTTTTAAAATATAATTATTACTCTTTATTATAGATGTAAATATTAGTGTAAGAGTGTATAGTTACCGATTGAAAGATGAATAGTTGTGTCTCAGATAAAAGTTCTACTTAAACGTGATCACAAATTTTGACGTTTCTTCTTCTCACGAATTCGAAAATTACTCTACATAGTTATTAAAAAGTAAAATTGAAAAAAAGGATCAAAATGTGGGTCAAATGTACAGCAATTTTAAGATACAATAGAAATTTTCGATTTGTTCAATTGCGACAACTATCGCAATTAGATGCAAAAACCAACGATAATGCCGATTCAAAAATGCAAGCATGGCAAATAAATTCTTATGGGGGCATTCAAGAATTACAATTAAATAAAGCAACCATTCCAGTGTTATCAAATCCAAATGATGTTTTGGTAAAGATTGATGCTTCGAGTGTCAATCCAATTGATGTAGCTATGATTAGTAAGCATTGAAACAATCAATAATTACTTTGATGATTATTAAAGATAAAAAGTTTAATCCATTTTGTCTTGATTTTATAGATGGTTATGGGTCAAAAGTACTTAATCTAATGCGTCAAGCCAAAGGTTGTTGTGGAAAACCTTACAGCGACATTGAATTTCCATTGACAATGGGCAGAGATTTTGCTGGAACTGTCGTCTCAAAAGGACATGGTGTTGATAAATTTAAAGTAGGCGATGAAGTTTGGGGTGTTATACCTGTTGAACAGCAAGGATGTCATTCAAACTTTGTAGTTGTCAATAGTTGCTTGGTAATTGATTTATTTCAATTGTTTGTAATTTTATTTTAAGCTTTCAATTTATGAATTTATTCTTTCTAAGACAAATCTGCGACCTCAAAATATTACCTACATTGAAGCAGCCAGTATTTTGTACGCAGGTTTAACAGCCTGGTCAGCACTTTATTATACAGGAGGATTATGTTACAAAACAGTATTTCCAACTCAATCAAATAAACAAATTTTAGTTCTCGGTGGTTCTGGAGGAGTTGGAACATTAGCAGTGCAACTATTAAAAGCATGGCGAATGCAGGCTAGTGGTTTTTGAAACTCATTTTATTACTTGAAATTGTATTACTTTTTTTTATGATTTTATTTATTTTAAACAGGTTGTTACAACTTGCAACACTGATGCAACTGATTGTTTATATAAGTTGGGTGCTGATACTGTAATTGACTATACAGAAAGTGATGCAGATGCAAAAATAATTGCAGAAGGACCGTAAGTATCAATGTTTTCAACAGAGAAAATATTAAATATAAATTTGCCTTGTGTATTTAGGTATGACATTATACTGGATTGTGCTAATGTGGGACCTGAAGTTGTTAAATCTAAAAAATATCCACATCACAATTACATAACTCTAAATTCACCATTATTGAAAAATATAGATGAACATGGATTGGTATTAGGAGCAGTAAAAAATATTGGAGATTTGTTAAAACAAAATTTACCATCAGATGAAATCAAGAGTTTTGTCAAGTGGGGATTTTTTGCTCCATCTCCTACTGGTATAAAAACAATTCAAGAATTTGTTGAGTCCAGCAAGGTAACTTTCAAATCAGACAATTATTACATTATTATTATAGTTAATTGAATTATAACATGGAAATTGTAGATTGTTCCTGTAGTGCAAGAAGTATTCCCATTCAAAGAATTACCTGAAGCTTACAAAAAAGTGCAAGAAGGTCATTTGAGAGGAAAAATAGTTATTGATATGAGGTAAAGATATATATCCTGTTTGATATTTTTTTCAAAAATATATTTGTAAAAAACACTTATTTACAATAAAATATCAATTTGACTAAAAACATTTTAATACTTAAGATTTCAAGTGTAACTTGTGAACATTTGAAGTTAATGTATCAACTCCGTAACCAACTTTATTTCTAACTTCAAGCCAATTAGTCATAGCAATAGTTTCCGCTTTACTAGCTCCAATTTGTAAAACTTGCTGCAAATAATTATAATCCTGAAGGTACTCGTCTATTCTCTTTCTTATAGGATTAAGTTTCTCAATGACAAGATCAGCTAGCAACAATTTGTATCTGTAAAAAATAGTTTGAAATATGTAAGTCTGTAGAAATTAAATTTTTTCTCATGAATTATGCAAAAATATTTTACTTACTTTCCAGTATCTAGATTTTGTGCTTCTGTACATATTTCATCCGGAGTTTTTCCACTTATTAGGGAGTGTATATTTATTAAGTTAGCAACTCCTGGTCGTGAGTCAGGTTCATAGGTAACTTCAGACTTAAAGTCAGTAACAGCTTTTTTTATTTTATTTAAAAGAATGTCAGGAGTATCTGTCAAGTCAATTCGACTTTTCACATTATTACTTGATTTGGACATTTTTTCTGTAGGATCTCTCAATGACTTTATTCTACCAGTGCCTATTGAAATTAAATAATGCAGTTCAAAATTGCTTTGGGATCTTCTTGAAGTTTTTACTTACTATTTAATATTGCTTGTGGCATAGCAAATGTTTCACCATATGTAGAATTAAATTTTTGTGCTAAATGTGCAGACAGTTGAATATGTTGCAACTGATCATCTCCAACAGGTACATGAGTAGCTCTAAATAAATTCAAAAACTTAGAAAATTTTGCTTTGTTAATAGCTATCATAAAAAAAAATCTTACTTGTATAATAATATGTCTGCTGTTTGTAAAATTGGATAAATATATAAACCCAATGGTACATCTTTTAATTTTTCACTTTTTTCTTTGAATTGAGGTTGATGAGATAACCGAGGCATAGTAGCTAGACAAGCAAAAATCCAACTCAATTCTGCATGCATTGGTATGGAAGATTGTTGAAAAAGTATACTCTTCTCTGGATCAATTCCACATGCCAATAACGTAGCAGTTAATTTAAAAACATTTTCCTTAAGCTCGCTTGGATTCTTTAAAATAATGCATTTAGTATATCATTTGATTTGTTTTTAATTTATAAATGAGAACTTACATATGGTAATGTAATGGAGTGCATATCAACAATGCTCCAAATGACATCTTCACCCTTATTTTGTAAGTCAACCCAATTTTTAATAGCACCAGCATAATTACCTAAATGCATTGTACCAGTAGGTTGGATACCAGAAAATATTTTCTTGGGATACACTTTTTTTGGTTTCTGTAAAGCAACAAAAAATATTGGTGACATTTTTCTTTCACTCGCTTAAAGTGAAAATTTTTTTGTTTACTTTTGAACAGTTTCGTTGAGAATTCCATAACAACAATCTATTTTGTAATAAATCTTGATTCCATTTATTATGTTTGAAAAATCTGTGTAACATCATTATTTAAAACAAACAAATAATTTGAAGTAATAATGGTATCTTTATTGTAATCTTCAATAAGTTCAAACAATAATAGACCTGCGTGTGTCAAAATTATATGATACTTCGGCGAGCGTAACAGAGGTTAAACACCCACGCTAGATCAATGCACTGTAGAATGTAGTCTGCACATCATACTGACACATATTTAGTAGTATAGGGTACTGACTACTGTACTATGAAATAACTACTATCTACAATAATGAAATAAAATCAGTTTTTTCAAATTAAAAAAAATTTTTTAATTAAAGTTAATTTTAATTAATTAAAGTTTTCAAAATTAATAAGTATTTTCAAATATCGTTTTGTTCTTTTTAAAGATATCTTATAAGATCCAAAACATTTGCTTTGCGTTTTAGAGCAAGGAAAACAATAAAAGAAAATTAACAACAAAAAAAGCCATTGATGTAATAAGTGTCAGGGCTGTTGAGGCACTTGGTCAAGATCATTGACGGCTTGAATCTTACTTTTAAATCACAAACTAATAACATTTAACAGTTTGAAGCAGAAATCCAAGTAACTCCAGGAATATTGTCCTATATTTTATAAATATTGATTAATGATGAAGATGAAAAAAATTGTTAAAAATAAAAAAGCTGGAAAATGGATCAAAAGTATAAGTAAATAAAAAATGGGTTTATTTTTAAAATTAATAATAATTAAAAAATAATAAAATCCAACATTAGGCGTCAAAAGTGTTTGTTTATTCTTATTTAACATGTTACTTTGCAATAAGTTTATTGAACATGAATTATCTAAATCAATTAAAATAAAAATCGTCTAAAATGCATTACAAGACTTTTGTCCCACTCGTAAAAATTCATTTTCAGCGGCACCAAATATTTCTTGAAAATGTAACGAAATGTGACCAGTCAAAATTAAAATGGAGCACTGAGCGATCGCGTTGGTGCGCAAGTCAACACGGACACAAATTCGAAGTAGTTGGCCGGTCGCGCACGGCATTAGAACTCGTCATGGATCGAACACGTGGGTCCACGGATGCCTAATCTAAAATTGCTAGGCCAACGCGATAATAGACAGTTAAGCGTCTATTTTTACTTTTCTTTAGTTAGAGTAAATGAGCTGGTGATTAGAAAACGGCTCTCCTCCAGTAAACGCGCATTTAATCGTTGAAGTTCGTGTAATTGCGAAAGCAAGCAGTTCAATTGACTTCCGTGATACAATTACGAGTTATTGTTTGTGTATTGACATAAGTGAAACTGACAGTGTAGTGTTAATTAGCGTTTATAGCATTGATAATTAAATATCAATCGTCAATCATGTTCGCATTTCCAAAATGTAGCATTATTAAGGGCACGAAACCCAACCCAAACCTTTCTATAAAACACAGGTAAATACTTCGATCGATGTTAATATTCATCCTCAAAATTATGATCCAGAAAAAAAATATTTTATTTTCTCCTCTCGTCCGCAGTGCAGAAAAGGACAAAAACGACGCACAAAATTTATCATCGGTCATGGCGAATTTAAAACTCGACGCCGCCGCCGCCTCCTCGTCTTATCGCGTGGCGGGTGAAATCTGGAGGAGGATCGAGCTGATAGACTGCGTGTCGGTCAGAGCCTGTCCCGGTGTGACGCTGGCCGAGGACACGAAGATCTACATGAAGACCGAGAGCAAAGAGCTGGCCGAGATCGGAACGATCAGCGAGATTTACGGCCACATCAACGAGCCCCTGTACGAGGTCCTGGTGCCCGAAGGCGTCTCGTGGGACCTGCTGAGATCCAGCAACGTGGTCTATTACGATCCGGAGCATCCGTGCACGAGGTTCGCGCGCATCAGCTGTTAAACGGAGGAGCGGCGCAATTATCAGGGGGCGAGCCTAGTCAGCGCGAGTATAAACGATAAAATCACTCAATCCTCGATTTAAGCAGTAGAAGTTGTAGGATGCGTGAGTTTTAATTTTTCGACGAATCGGTCGAACCGATCCTTGATGTGCAATGTTTACAAATAAGAAATGAATTAGATAAATATATAGTGATTATATTTTCGAGATTAAGAGCTAATGGGTTTTTACATAGATTAAATGTAACATATATATTTCTATTGACTAGAAAATCTTAATAAATGTCTATTGACATTGTTTACATAATTACAAGTATTTTTTTTTATGACGCCACCTATTGAACTAATTCCCATTTTCCAAGTGCTTGATTTATGCCGCTGAATGAGTTTATTCGTCGATACGAGGTGAGACAAAACTTATTACTCATGGGTCTTTGAACTAAATAACGTCAATGCTGAATTTTCTCAATAAAAAGAAGTAGCTCGAACCATTGTCTATTCAGTTTCCAATCCAATGCTGTTGGTCGCAACACCGGTGGTCATCGTGCAACAACGAAAATACAACGCAACATTTTGTACAGTAAGTCGATCGTATGCGATTAAGATTCAAAAATTATTCTTGTCCCGTAAAATTTTTACTCGCGAACGAGAAAGTGAATCATCAATTAAAAGCACGGATTCGCGTGCTATTTTCGTACGATGCGAAAGTTTTTTTTCTCTCTCAATTTCATCGCACGTAAGTAAGTTTACATTTTATATTTTATTGATCGATGAATGAAATCGTATAGAGATTATTTCTCTGCGCGTAACCCGCGCGTCGTCGCGAAAAATTGCAATTCCGATTAACGGGCCATATACGGGTTCACCGGCACAAAATTGTGTCAACGGTGTATACGATTATCGCGGTATATAAAATATACCAATGCCGCACTGCCGACAAGATGTTGTGTACGCTCTCTCGTACACAATTTATGTTTTGCCGATTAAACGCGGCGAAGATACGTCGTTGTATACGCACGTGCGTGTCTGTCTGGCCTACCTGCCTACCTGCCAAGACGAGCAGACGACTCGGTGGTGTTTGCGTTCATAAAACTCGGTAAATACATAGCAGACGCTTCTACCGTGTGCTATATACAGCGAGCGCAAAGGGCAGATCGGAGAGGGGGAGATGCGGACGAACTCGGCGTCGTCGAGGCTCCGGAGTGCATGTCGTCGTTAGCGAGGAGCGTCTGCTGCTCCTCGATTTTCGGAGTCGGAACGAGCGTACACGTTGACGTTGAAATGAAAATTTGCTGAACAAGCATCGATGGAATTTCGCTTTGTGTACGTACATAGTGGGGTTATCAATTCGAATGTGTCACGCGTGCGCATCATCCTGCAGCTTTTACACGTAGGCAAGCTCGGCAGTATTTACTTGCTCTGCATGTGGCTGCTCTCCGCTGACATAGGTTGTGAACTTGAACGTGCCAGTATTGTCGACAAGTTGTACAGTATAATCGCGATGCATTTGTTTACGACCGCGTTTAAATGCCCGTACGACGATGGTGGTAGATGTTTAAAGGGACGCACGTACGCGATACGAGCAGAAGAAGGCACGCATCATTGTCGACGACGTAGCACGGAGTGATGGTTCACGACGAAAAGTGCACGGAGAAAGAAGAAGAGCAGAAAAAAAGGAGCACGAGTAAACGCGCATTTACGCGCGTCGGTGATGGTAGTTGTAATCGATGACCATCGCTCGCTGCCGCGGATCAGTGTATGATCCACTCACCGAGTTCGAGTTGTTGTTGTGATACACATATATATCGGCGGTGAAAGCGCCGACGACGACGACACATTATATACATTTACGTAGCCACGCGGACTTTCGTTTTCGTGTATATCATTATTATGTACACACGCGCACACACATGCTCGTGTCTTAATGTGCGCGTCTTACACCGCCGCATGCCATGAGACTTTTGAAAGCGCCTGCCTCTGGCCTGCTCTACAGCAGTAGCAGCAGTCAGCGACGCTGCCAGAAACAGCTGGGATCGCCGAGTAATACTAGTAGTTGTAGCAGTAGTAGTAATTGCGGCTGCGAGTACGCTACTACCGCGCATACGACGACTTGCAGCAGCAGCAGCAGCAGCAGCAGCAGCAGCAGCAGTAGTAGTAGTTGACTGCTGCTACTGCTCGACTCGGTGTTGTGTGCCAGTGTGTATAAGGTGTGCACGCGACAAATCCTCGTAGATACTTTATAAGTTATGCAGTCCAGTGCCGTTCGGAGTCGATAGTCGCTCGTCGTGCGCGGTATTTAACGCTTCAGGCACGAGCACATTTTTTTGGAGCGCGATCGATCGTACACGTTATTAAGCAGCAGCTGTGCAAACGACAACAACGATCGCGTATAAACAAACCCGACTGGAAGATTTATCGCGGGGGACGAGTGCGAGTGTCATCATCACCCAGTGCCACGTTCGTTTGCCCTCCCAAAAAGCTCCACACAGTCCGTGTAGAGTAGCCGGATGACATTGACGCGAAATCGTCGTCAACTCGCTGTCGCTATCTCAACAACTGCAACAACAACAACAACAACATGACCAGCAACGGTCTCAGCTTCGTGCCACCTGCCAAACGACCCGCCACTGCGGTACGTTCGTAATAATCATTGTCATTTTATCATTAAGTTTAACTATATGCGATGGTTGTGATTATTATGCGCCGGACTTGCAGCAGCTTAATTAGTCTTATGTGCAAGTCGGGATACAATAGAAGGACTTTGCGATCGATTTTTATATAGGGGGTAGTTGGTGTCAAAAGCACAATAGTATTGGAAATTAAAAAAAAAACAGTGACAGGTGTGCATAAGTAGTTATTAGTAATTATAGTCCTCGACGTGTGCACGAGTTTGCGCATGTATTATATTCCTCTTTCTCTCTCTCTCTCTCTCACGCGCGCGCGCGCAAAATCCAACGCGGCACTTTGCAACTCGATCCGAAGGCTTATCGTATTCTTTAGATAATACAAAGCGCCTCGTGTATGCAAGCGCGGCTTCCACGCGCGAGCTTTTTTTTTATAGCGCGAAATTTCAATCGCGCGTACTACAAGCTTCTTGTGCGGTGTCGCACGAATTTCATTCGTGACGAGTCCGGTAATTCATTTTTCAAAAACATATCATCGTACACGTAGGTTTTTTTGATTGGCTGCAAAAGCATATTATACACGCATGCTTCTGTCCGCGTTATGTGTCACAGCGAGCATAAGTATACAATGTACCGTTATGAGCTCGTATTTTTTTCTTCTCCTTTCGTACTTTTTTTTCATATTGATGAAATTTCACCGGCCACTCGCGAGCGGCAAACTCCGGGCATCGTCGCTCAACGAGAAAACCATAATATAATATGCGAGTTTCGTTATAAATATCCGGAATAAAATAATCGCAGGCACATCCGCGCGCACTCGTTACACGACTCGCGTGTGTGTAAATATGTGTGTGCGTGTGTGTAGATTATATTATACGTCGCTTATTTCAGCTACTTTCGCTTTTTTATACATGCGGAATCGCGAAAACAGCTTAGAGAGAGAGAGAGAGAGAGAGATAGTTATGATGTTGCGCGTATGTAACGTAATCTACGGCGTATTTTATAACATCGACTTTTCGCCTCGATTATGCAATGAAGAAAATAAAAAAAAATAAAAATATATAATGCTCCGTATAACGAGCATTTTAACTGTCTTATATTATTATTTTCATTGATTCGTGAAGATCAATTACTAATTTTAAGTACCTACTTAAAAGAGAGAAATCTCGAAAGATTCCCCCATCGATCGGTTCAATGTACCGCGATTGCTCAAATTCGAGTCAAACGCGTTTTTTATTATAAATTATTCATCCTCTATAAAATAAGTTATTGTATACATTACGCGCGTCTAATGTTCGATTCAGGCCACGCCGACAATTGATACGCTCAAATGAATCAAGGTGCACACGCACACACACACGAGAGAGGCGCGTACATTTCACGCTAAAAATCACTCGAGCGTGTGCGAGGGTTTATATGATACAGCACGTATATTATTATACAAGTTGTCAGCGAGACTCGCGGCATTCGCGGTTATTCTTTTTTTTTTTATTTACGAGTATAATACATAAACGCGTTACTGGAAAAAATTAAAAAAAAAGAATAATAATCTTCGCGATTGTTCGCGTTGTGTAAAACTTGCACACGAGTGTACAATTATTATAATTATTTAAATATACTTAACGTTCGCACGACGATAAAATAACAACTAGAACGTTCCAAGCGATGATGTATTAACAAAAAAAAAAAGAAGCTCCAAAATTGTATTGAACCTTCCAAAACGCAACGATTGATAAGGCATTTTCCGATTAATTACTTTCAACGATGAATCGAAATGATGTAACGCGCGAAACGTCAAATTCATTGAATTTATTTTATAATTCGTTGCGGAGTATAGGTTTTTTTCTGCTCGCGCGAGTACTACCAGATTTTCTCGATCCGAAGTGAAACTTCGGAATATCGCCGAATTTGGTAATTATTGGAACACACATACTTTCGCACGTGTATTTACTTCCACTTCGCACATGATCTTGCACTTTCTATTTCCTTAGCATCCTTACCCGAGATCGCTGACCTACTTTCTATAAGTTTTTTTTTCGAGAAACGCAAATTGTTTTGAGGACGTTTAAAGATCTCGTTATCAAGCCTTATCTCAATGATTTTCTTAATTATAATTCTAAAAATAATCGTTTTAGTCGGAATGAAAAAAGATGAACTATTCTAAATTTAGATTTGAATTTTGAACGACATTGCATATGTGCATGTAGCAAGTGCAAGAGAAACGAAAAGCAGTGCGCGATCTCGCTAGAAATCTGATTGCGGGTAAACGTTGATACAATAATTGATTGTATATACTTGAGATGTTTGCTTATAGAATCGTTCGATAATTTTCAGTATCTATGTTCCGGCAAGAGTTTATCTTGCCACTTGTTTTTCAAGAGTATAACAAATCTCTTAAACATCTGTACTGTCAAAATTCGAAAGAGAAGATTTATGTTATTCTTGTACTCATATCACTGATATAGCCGCAAGTAGATGCGACACTTTTTCTTAATTCAAATTGAATTAATTGATGTACAAATAAATTTAAATACACGTATAAATTTTATGTAGCAATCTAAAGAAGCGTATCATCAAATTATTAAAATGATATGTTTATGTCAGAAAAAATTTACACTATTAGAATTTTTATAATATAATAAATAATAGGTGACTTTGAAAAAAGTCAAAATTGAATCAACGTGTCTCGAAGTACAGTATAACAATGCAATAATCATGTATATCAGTGTATGATCATAACTTATTACGACGTCTAACGCTCGAAGCATCACAGCCCAGTTTGCAGTAGTGCACATGAATTTTTACAAGTGAATCACAATTTGAAAAAAAAGAAAAAAAATTATACACAAAAGATTGGCCGGTAGGTATTTCCACTCGAATATTGGTATGCTTTATCAGATGGAATTATTTTCCTGTGATAAGGCTGTATTTAATCGTACGAATTCGTGCGCATCCCAGTCAGTTGGTCTCTGAAACTCGGCTTGGCAAGATGCCGTCTCAGCAGTCGTTATGGGGAAAATGGCGAAACGGGGCCTCGTTCGATGTAAAAAAGAAAAATCCAAAAAATGATACGTTATATCACACAGCGATGGAGTCATTACATTTTCCGTCTTTTTTTTTTATTGTTGCAGATGTGCGCGAACGTGTCGTTCCAGGCGCACCACGTGTCACGTCAGAAGCGCGGCGAGACGCTGGGCAACGGTCGCGGCTTTCGCGGCTGCACCGTCTGGCTGACCGGGCTCTCCGGGGCCGGCAAGACCAGCATCGCCTTCCAGCTGGAGGCCTTCCTCGTGGACAACGGCATACCGGCCTACGGCCTCGACGGCGACAACGTGCGCACCGGCCTGAACAACAATCTCGGCTTCTCGCCCGAGGACAGGCGCGAGAACATCCGTAGAGTGGCGGAGGTCGCCAAGCTGTTCGCCGACAGCGGCCAGATCTGCCTGTGCAGCTTCGTCTCGCCCTTCGAGGAGGATCGAGCGATGGCCCGACAGATACACAAGGACTTCGATCTGCCGTTCTTCGAGATATTCGTCGACACGCCGCTGGACGTCTGCGAGGCGAGAGATGTCAAAGGTAAGGGGGGAGAAAAAAATTAATATAATCTCGAGCTTGCACGAGTCTGATCGTGTGTGTACGATACACTTAAAAAAGTGTAAGATCGTTAAAAAATCGAAATGTCATACCGCGCGATAAAGACCACACTCGTCGTCGTCGTTGTACACGCGCGCGCTATCTCGTCGACACGCATAAACAATTGGAACTAATAAACACTCGAATCGAATTTTTATAGTTTTTTTAATACCGATCACCGTGACATATATTAATACAATAATATAGGTATACCGCACGGGAGGGCATTTAATTTCCGCAAATCCATTAACCGATAATATATTACGGCCATTGTGTGTGTGAAGCTCAAATAAAAATATTGGATCTAGATTATCGGCGAGGATAGCTGACGCCACCGGAGCATCGGAGCGGAGTATATCGTAAATAATTGATCAACAAATGTATCATAGATTCGCGCTCGCGATTACGTACTCTGTGTATTCTGAACTCCACTCCGCAACTGCATCGCGACCTTGAATCTATATCATCGACAAATAGAGATACACGCGTACACACGAGTTTTTCCGATCGGTCTTGAACCAAAAAACAAAAAAAAAAAAAAAAATATGTCTTCGCAGGTCTGTACAAAAAGGCGCGCCAGGGCTCGATCAAGGGCTTCACGGGCATCGACCAGATGTACGAGCGGCCCTCGAATCCGGACCTCGTCGTCACCACGGAGAACTGCTCGCTGCTCGAGTCGGCCCAGCGCGTCGTCAAGTTTCTCCAGGACAAGCGCGTCATACCGCAGGACGTGACGCCGAGCGACGGCCGCGTGCCCGAGCTCTTCGTGCCCGCCTCGAGGCTGGCGGAGGTGCGCGCCGAGGCCGAGAAGCAGCTGCCCGGTCTCGAGCTCACGGACTACGACGCCCAGTGGCTTCAGGTGCTGTCCGAGGGTTGGGCCGCCCCGCTGCAAGGCTTCATGCGCGAGGATCAGTACCTGCAGGTGCAGCATCTCAAGTGCCTCGTGTACGACGGCAAGGAGGTCAATCAGTCGGTGCCGATCGTGCTGCCCGTGAGCGACAAGGACAAGGATCGCCTCGAGGCCGCCTCGGCGGACGTGGCGCTGCTGCATCGTGGCCGCGCGGTGGCGGTGCTGCGCTCGCCCGAGTTCTATCGTCATCGTCGGGAGGAACGCTGCGCCTGGCAGTTCGGCACCACTAATCGGGGCCACCCGAGCGTCGATCGCGTCATGGCCTCGGGCGAGTGGCTGCTCGGCGGCGAGATCGAGGCCCTGGAGCGCGTCAGGTGGCACGACGAGCTCGACGCCTACCGACTCACGCCCAACGAGATCAGGTCGCGCTGCCGCGAGATGCGGGCCGACGCCGTGTTCGCCTTCCAGCTGCGCAATCCCATACACAACGGCCACGCGCTCCTCATGCAGGACACGAGGAAGCGACTGCTCGAGCGCGGCTACAAGAATCCGGTGCTGCTGCTGCATCCGCTGGGCGGCTGGACCAAGGACGACGACGTGCCCCTGCTGACGCGCATGCAGCAGCACAGGGCCGTCCTCGACGAGGGCGTGCTGGACAAGGACTCGACCCTGCTGGCCATCTTTCCCAGTCCGATGATGTACGCCGGCCCCGTGGAGGTGCAGTGGCACGCCAAGGCGCGCATGAACGCCGGCGCCAATTTCTACATCGTCGGTCGCGATCCGGCGGGCATACCCCATCCGGACAAGTCGGCCACGCCCGACGGCAACCTGTACGATCCGACCCACGGCGCCCGAGTGCTGTCGATGGCCCGTGGACTCGAGAGCCTCGAGATCATACCGTTCAAGGTCGCCGCTTACGACACGGCCAACAAGCGCATGTCCTTCTTCGACCCGAGCCGCAAGCAGGACTTCGACTTCATATCCGGCACCAGAATGCGAAGTGAGTTTTTGTCAGCTTTGATGCTAAAAACTTTTTTTTTTTTCGTTGTCGTTGTTATTTTTACAAATTTGTTTTATTTCGTGTCTACGCAGATTTGGCGAAAACCGGACAACTGCCACCGGACGGATTCATGGCGCCGGCCGCGTGGAAGGTACTCGCCGAGTATTATCAAGGGACTCAAAAGCAATGATCCGGAAGTATTTTTATAATATTGTCGATATTTTTATACAGAATTTAAACACAATGTACTTTTTTGCAAAGTAAATCGATTTACGCGCGACGACGGCTGCTCTCTCGCCGCCGCGTACACGCGAAGCAATTTTTTAAAAAGCGACGATTCAATCGTCGTCTCTCTTTTTTCCATTGATGTCGAGTCAAGAGCTAGACGGATTTTTTTACATATTACTATTGTAAATCGCACATATTTTCGCTTCTCGCTATCTTCAGCTATATGTCGTAGCCTCAAGTTGATTATAAAACGAAGTTGGTAGAGTATATTAAAAGAAAAAAAAATGGTATTTACATTAAATTGTACCGAGTTAAGTAAAATGCATATATTTTATATACATTTAAATGTTTAAGACTTTTGTTATAATATAATTTATCACTGTTTGTAAAGTTGAACGTATCAAGAGATAAAAAAAATTATATTATATATTCATTTATGTAATTTTAATTAATAAAAATCAAATGTAATAACATACTGCTAATATACGTCATTAAACTGTACATATTGTACATCCAAATTTTATTGTAAAAATTATGATGTTTATTGTTCAAATACATTTAAAAATTTGAATCAACTATTCACCAAATTCTCTTGGAATTTATTATTATTTTTTCTCTTATAATTTTTTTGCACACTCTCAAAGTAAATAATTTGTTTTGGCTTCAAACGAAACTCTGATTTATTAAGCTCTTTTATATTTATCAACTCATAAATATTTTTATATATATTTTTAATAATTATTTAACATTATGTAGATAGCAACCTAAAGATATTGCATTATAACTACAGTAACATTTCACTGATTGGTTTGAAAATTTAATGGTACTCTCAAAAAATTATACCGTAAGTTCACAATTTACGTTTACAACAGATTACCACTTGATGCAGATGGTTTGAACAAATAATTGAAATTTTTTAATTACAGTTTTAATCTTAGTCTCCGTATTTCTAGAAAAAGAGAAAAACCATTTACAATCGTCCATAATTAAGAGTACTCTATGAAAATGTGAAACAATACTGTTTATCACTCATCCATTCAGTCATTCACACTCATTTAAAATGAATTACCCGACCGCATTTTTTTATAGTACATAATGTAGGAAAGAATATCAAATTCTTTCGTTACGTAGCGTAATATTTGTAGTGCAGTAGCAAGTTCAATGTTCTGAAATCGAAAATTGAACTGACCACTCGCCCTGCCAACATGAATATCAACTGCTGATTTTGTTTTTGTATTATATATTATATTATATATAATGATTACGCAGTAAAAATGACACAATAGTAGTTTTGTTTAAACTACTTTTCAAAAAGCTATTCTTTCGACTCATACCTTACAAAGATATCGTAAATCTTACACTTGATTATTCATCTGCAAGTAAAAAAAGTTATTCTAACTTTATTCGTAAATAATTACACTATCACCCTCGAAGTGATAAGTGTCTTCCCAAAAAGCCACATTAATACTTTCTAGGACATGCCTTTGTTAAACTGACTCTTCCACCGAAATTCTTAGAAACGCTAAAAGACGGCTTCATTAAAAAAAAATTTACATTAAAACTAATTATTCTTTGTACATGATGGACGTGGCAGTTAAACTGACTTCCCCGGGATCGCCTAGATCTGGCAAGGACAGCATGACGGGAATGACCTGGATCTTTCCATTGCTGTCCTGCTGTTGAAGATGGACGACTGTGCCTGGTTGCAAAATCTGCTGATCTATCATATCGTTCGTTATTATCTCTGTTTCCATGGGTACTGTACTAACTTCTTCCGTGTAAACTGTGGCGTCTTCGAAGCCAACTACGACCGTGCCATGGTTATTGTCATGTTCAGCTTCCTCGACGTACATCTGAAACGAGAAAAAAATTTAATCCTGCGGTTCGATAAAAAAGACAAAAATACAATTAAACAATGTGAAGATAAAATTACAGGCTCAAACGTTGCCTCGGACTCGGCCACAATTTCGCCAGTCTCGAATTTGATGATCCTGGACTCGTCGAAGGTGTCGATCTCGTCGTTCAAATTATAAACGGTGCCGTCCTGCTTCTCGTCGTGCGTCTCCGCCGCATCCGCGTCCGAATCGAAGCCACTCTGGTCCTCGGTCTTCTCGCCGCTGCCGCCGCCGGTGCCGCTCTTGCCGATGGCGATGCGCTTGAAGCCGCTACCGCCGAGGCTCTCGTGCCTACGCTCGTGCTTGTTCTTGTCGCCGAGATACTTGAAGCGCTGCTTGCAGACGCTGCAGCTGTAGGGGCGCTCGTTCGTGTGAGTGCGCTCGTGACAGACCAGGGCGCTAACCTGCTTGCACCGCCAGCTGCAGTAGTGGCACTGGAGCGGCCTCTCGTCGCTGTGCCGATTCTGCTTGTGCTTGATCAGCTGTATGCGCGTCTTGAGCATGAAGTCGCACTGGTCGCAGGCGAAGGGACGCTCCTCCGAGTGCGCGATCATGTGGGTCTTTAATCGAAGCTGATTGACGAAGCGCTTGGGGCAGAAGGGACACTTCTGGGTGCCCTCGAGGCGCTCGTGCTGGACCATCATGTGGTGCCTGAGGCGCACGTCCGAGGTGAAGATCTCGTCGCAGTCCAGGCACTTTTGCGGCTTCTTCTCCGTGTGGCTGTTCTTCACGTGGGTGCGCAGTATCGTCTCGGTCTTGAAGGTCTTGTTGCACTTGAGGCAGGCGACGCGCTTCGTCTCGGTGTCCACCGCCGATTCCTCCTTCTCCGGTCGCTCGGGCAGCACCTCGTTGTGAATGCTGGACAGATGCCAGTCGAGCGAGCGCTGCGAGATCATCGAGCGATTGCACAGGTGGCAGGTGAACGTGCGGCCGTCCTTGTGCGTGCGATTGCGATGTATGACGAGGGTCGAGTGATTGGGGAACTTCTCGCCGCAGACCTGGCAGATGCACTCGCGCAGACCGCGCGAGTTGCTCTTCTGGTGGACGCGCATGTGCAGCCTGAGGCCGTCGCGCCTGTTGAAGCCCACGCCGCACTCGTTGCACTTGTACGGTCGCTGGTCCTCGTGGATGCGCAGGTGCTGCTTCAGGGTCGAGGTGTTCTTGAACATCTTGTCGCAGCGCGGACAGGCGATCGTGTATGCCTTGTGGGTGTGCATGTGCTTGGACATGCCGTAGGCCGGTATCATCTTCTTGCAGATCTTGCACTCCTTGCGGCTGTTGGGCTCGAGGTGCTTGCGCACCTTGTGATGGCGCAGACTGGCCGGATTCTTGAAGTCCTTGCCGCAGTCCTCGCAGAGGAAGGCGCGCACCGTCGTGTGCACCGTCTTCATGTGGAACGTCATCTTGGTCTTGAAGGTGAACTCCTTGGAGCACTCGGGGCACTTGTGCACCTTGCCCAGATCCATGTGCTTCACCTTGATGTGCTGGTCGAGGGTGCCCTGGTGCTTGAACTTCTCGCCGCAGGTGTCGCACAGCTGGCCGTAGCTCTCGTCGCAGTGCTTCTGCTCGTGCTGGCGCTTCTTGCCCTTGGACTCCTGCAGCTCGCCGCAGCCCTTGCAGATGAGCTTCTGCACGCAGGTGGCGTTGTGCTCGCGGCGCGCCTTGCCCGTGGAGAACTCGACGCCGCAGTCGCTGCACAGGTACTGGATGCGCACGTCGTGGATCTTCGCGTGCTCCTGCAGCATGTCCACGGAGTAGAAGAATCTGAAGCAGAAGTCGCAGTCGTACGCCTCCTTGTCCTCGTTCAATTTTTCCTCCGCGACTTCCTCCGGGGGGCCTTCGTCCTCGATCGCCGATCTGTCGATTTTCACGTTGTTCTTCTTCTCGTACAACAGTATGATGTCTTCCGTTTTCAATCTCGACGCCACGATTTTTCGTTGATTCAAGTACTTCACGAAGTCCTCGATGTATTCGTTTTTCTGTCGAAGTATTCTCTTCAATCTGTCCTTGAATTCGGTCGATAATTCTCTCTCGAAAAAGTCGTTCTGCTTTCTAATTGCGTTGTACCTTTCGCGTAACTCGTCCATAGAGCTCGAACTTTTTGATACCGCGATCGTACTCGCGGATGAACTTGTGGATGTACTCGCGGCTTGAAAAAGCGGATCGTCTGCATCTTCGAGTTCTTCTTTGATGGTTTTCGTGTTCTCTGTACATCCGGTATCACCCAAGTTACCGGCGAAACCTCGGTTGTCTATGACTTCACTGGGTTCCTCTTCGACGATCATATCGGCACCTTCTCCTAAAATTTCAACGCGTTTTCTTTTATACTTCTCGATTTCATCGTCGATATTATTTTCTGATAAATTTGAAGGTCTTAGATGCTGTGCTTTATTTTGTGAATGAGTTTTAGAGGACTTTTTTCCCTTTTCGTCCTTTTTAGTCAACTTTTCCATTTTTTTAACTTTCAACAGAAGCAGCTCATTAGGTTTCGATCCTTTAGTAGTGACATACATTATTCCGTTTTCACCCTCCTCTACATTGATCACGTCATCAAAGTTCAATTTTGGAATTTTCATTTCTTTTAAAGCTAATATTAATTTATTTTTTTCGTTGCCATTATCTGCATTGGCAAAGCTCACATCTTTTTCTACATTTTTTTTTACATCGCTAAATATTTGTGAAGGTGGAATTGAATTTTTCATAGGGCTGCTTTTTTCATTATTAAATATTTTTTCAGATTCATTCTTTATGTTAGTTTCATTGTCATCTGTTCTTTGACTTTCATCAAAGTTATACTCACAATTTTCAGTTTCACTGTTATCATAATTTGACTGTAAACTTTGATCAATATCGTTTGAATCATCTGGTTCACATTCATCATATGAAATATTTTCATTTGATTCTTCAAATGTTTCAGTTTGGTCAAAAAAAGATTCGGAGCTCTCATTTTCTTCATTTAGGTAATGCTCTGAATAATCTTCTTCCAAATCATTAACTTGAGATTCTGGACAAGAGTCCCATATAGATTGAAGTTTTACTTCTGCATTTTTGATTTGCATCAAAAACTTATAGCTTGTTTCCAAATTCTTGATACATTCGATACACATTTTTGTAGATAAACTAAATTCATCAACTTCTTCAAAATATTGCAATTGTTCGTTTAGCTGCATTTCTGTTCCTTCGTCACTAAATATATCTATCAAAGGAAATTTTAATTCAGCACATGTTCTGCAATAATTATGTAGTTTATTTTGTGAATCATTCAATATGTACGATGACGATAAAGTAGAAGGCGATGACATTTTTGATGATGACAATTTAATTTGAGGAGTAACTTTTTTTAGATCATTTAAATTTTTAATTTCTAAACCAATATATTCTAGATCATTTGACATTTTAGAATCCATAATATGATTATCAGATTGCTCTTCAGCACTTTGAATCAATTCACTTTTAAAAATATCATGATTGCTAATTTCTTGATTTGCTTCTATCGTCAATTCATCTTTAATACTTTGAAATTTAAATAATTTTGGTGAATTTTCTTTTTCTGTGAATAAATATTCAAATTAATTTTTAATCTTCTTAGTTGAGAAAAATTCAAGTGCATTGAATAACTCAACCAGTGTTTTTTACTTACTTGGTGACATAATGGCTTTCTTCTTTACTTTACTTGGAGAGGAGAATTTTGCAGATTTTCCATCTTTACATTTGTTTTCAGACATTTTTTTTGTAATATCTGATTATTGTTTTTTTATAAAAAACTTGTTTACTTTTGGCAATATCAAAACAACAAAGTAGTTTTCTTATGTTTATAATATGTACTTCTCATAACAGATCGTCCATTGCTTTTCTTATGAGACAAAATTTCTTTCAAATCTATCTATAAAAAAGCATTAGTGTTAATTGAAAAGCTTCATACATGTAAACAGCTATAGGATTACATATTCAAAAAAAAATCATCATAGAAATGCACGCACAGCTAGATCGCTACGAAAAAATATCTGTGATTACCTCTCTATGTTAGTAATTTGTAAACACATTATGACTTCATAGCCAAGTGATATGCAGATGGCGCCTAATTTCTTCTTAATATACTTTATCCAGACTCCGTTCTCCAAAAATTCGAGTCTCCTCAACTAAAACTCAAGAGAGACGAACTAGATAGATACGGCGAGGCTTTTGTATAACGATGTATGTGTGGTGGTCCACGACCCGAAGCTCAACCAGTGCCAGCAGCACTACTGCATCAACAAATCGCGCTGCTCTGACTCAAAACTTTCTTTATACTTCGTGGTACTCCATGAACCTCAAATGAAGACGATGATGCGTTGCGTTGACGAGACGTGGCGACGATGCTTTCGGTGACATATGCAGCCAAGATGGATCTCGAACTTATTGTTATGACTTTTATTCTACTCGGGTGGTTGGAAAAATTCGAGGAACAGTACTTAAAGTTACACAAACAAAGATAAATATATAATTCAGCGAATTTTTTTAAGATATTTCCCACGTCTACAATTGGGCGTAAAACGATGAAAAAGTTTCAGGTTGTGTCGCGTGACCGAAAATGGCGCCACCTAAAAAGCGGGAGCTTTTAAAAATGATTTTTGCCTATTTTGTATTAAGAGGATTGTTGATAGTTATGATTAACTTTTTGAATGACGCTTAATTAACAAATTATATTTCGTCTAAACAAACATTTTTTAAAAGTTTTATTTTAAATATTGAATTTAATAAAATTCAAAATTTGACAGTTCCAAAAAGTCACGGATGTCAAGTGTCACTTGTGTTTTGACTTATGGTAATCTTTTTACGCCACCACACGGAATACTTTTAAAACTGGAAATGTCAAATTTCGTTCAATTGTCAACTTGTTGTTGCATGATTAGGTGTGGTTCTGGTCGAGTTTTTGTGTCTCGTGTTCATTTGTCAATTAAAAGTGACATTAATTTTGAATTCTCAAACATCAGTTTACTTATAGTTTGGTAACTTACAAAAAATCTAAATACCTAATAAAATTAAAAATTCAACAGTTCAATACACACAACAATGCAGTCAATAATTAATTTTACTTCAACTGTAATCAGATACAAAAAATTCAATAATAAAGTTATTAGTTATCTATTTTGCTGGTGTATTGTTTTTATTATGACATATGTTACCGGTGTCACTTTTGTTTTGACTTTCGGTGATGTGCTTCAATGCAAACGCCCCCGTACGGAATGCTTTTAAAACTGGAAGTGTCAGATCAGATTCCGGTCAAATGTCAATGTGTGGCCGCACGATCATGTGTTGTTTTGATTGTGTTGACTCGTGAATGCAAAGTGACATCGCCTTTGAAGCTCGAATATCGGCTTCGACTTATAGTTTTATATTAAAAAGTGGAGTTCAAATAATATTGATGAAAGATGGGTGATTTTTTAAGATCGAGTAATTCCTTCGGACAGACTTTGCTACGGCTTGTTGCTCGAGGAAACGCTATTATTGCGGAACTTATGCGGTTAAAAAACTACCTGCCGCCGCTATACAGGTTATTATTTATGTCATAATAATATGCATTTGTATTCTTGATATCGTTTCCAAGAAAATCTCTCAATTTGAAATAATTTCACAGGTTGGAGTCAAAACACGATGTGCAAAAATATGGTGCATTAATTGTTGATTTTGCTTATTTCAAAGCAGCGACCGCTTATGAACAGAAAATCGAAAATAATCCCGTATGAATTTTATTCTTTTGAATAGGTATTTTTTAATGTAAGGCTTTTATCAATTTTTTATAAATGTCAAGGTACTGCAAGAATTGGATGAAGAACTTCGGAAGAATTATTCAGATATACTTTCAAGATTTTACTCAGGCTTTGAAAGTATTCATAAGTACATAACTGATTTTAACAGTTATATCGATGAAATGGAAGATGGAACTTATCTTCAAGAATCTTTTGAATCAGTTATGATGAATGAAGAAGGAAAGCAATTAATTGTGAGTTTTTGTAAAGATCATTAAATAATTGTCAACTTTACGTCATTCTTTATTTTAGTGTGAAGCTATTTATTTGTATGGAATTATGTTACTACTAGTTGATTGTTATTTTGATGGACAAATACGGGAGCGTTTACTTGTTTCTTATTACCGATACAATGTTCAAAAAGTTTCATCCACTAGAGTAGATGATGTTTGTTTGCTACTCAGATCTACTGGCTTCAGCAGAAATTTAAACAAAAGACCACAAAACTATCCTGAATCATACTTTCAGTATGTTTTTTTTTTAATACTTATATTTTCAACCCCATATAATTTCTTTACAATCAATTGATTCAAATTATTTTTAGGAGAATACCGATTAGTGAGTCAGTACTAGACTTGACTATAGCTCGTTTACGTTTAGATGAAATTTATAATCAAACAAGTGCATATCCACATCCAGACCACAGAAGTATAGCTTTATCTAATCAAGCATCTATGTTAGTGATCATTTTATGTTTCAAACCTTCTATCTTAATAACCCAGTCTGCTACAATGAGAGAAATTGTAGATAGATTTTTTCCTGACACTTGGGTAATCAGTGTGTACATGGGTATTATCATAGACTTGGTTGATTGGTGGAGTCCGTATAAAGCTGCTAAAGCAGCATTAAATAATACTCTAGAAAATTCAAACATTAAGAGAATTTCACAAAAGTATGGGCAACTTATGGAGGTAAGAAATTGGTTTTTTATTATAATTAAAACAAAAAATAAACTCATCACATTTATTAATTTATTAGAAACAATTAATCAAAACTGGAGAAGCTCTTTCATCTTTAAATTTGGATGAAGGAAATATAGGATCTGTGATAAAATTAACTAGGGATTGTAATGTTACCTTACATTGGATAATGTTACATACAGCTACACCTACCATTTTGATAGAAGATTCAAAACGATTGAGAAACTTGAAGCAACTAATAATTCAGGATAGCAAATATACTGTAGAAAAAACTTTACGATTGTTACTAAACTCTGCTCAAATTGAATATAATATCAAACAAATGTACAAACAGGTAATACTTCATAATGAAACAAAATAAAATGAAACAAAACTTTCATTTTATTTTAATTTATTTCTTCAATACCTTGTAATTTTAATGAACATTTCAAATATTTCATAATTACAGTTGCTGCAAGATAAGGAAAACAAATGGGTTAAAAACAAAGAAAAATGTATCCTAAAAATTAACAGATTAGCTGATGCATTTTCTGGAGTCAAACAATTAGATGATATTGAAAAAAATCAAACACTGGAAAACTGGTTTAGAGAAATTAGTAAACACATTGAATCAGTGTTGGAGGATGATGGAAAAAAAATTATGCAATTACTTCAGGCTTTGGAAGAAGTACAAGGTAATTTTAGTAAAACAATAAAACTTAATTAGGTTTTTTAACAATCTCTAATATAATTTTTAAAATTTTTAGAATTTCATCAATTAGAAAATAATTTGCAAATATTACAATACTTGAAAGAAGCTAGACAAATTTTACATAATATGTTGCGATCAAGTTTAATGAACGAGGATACAATAATTGCTTTAAATATTGTCACAGACTGTTGTTATGCTTGGAATATTATGGAAGCATTTATACCTGAAATGCAGAATCGAATTAAAGCTGATCCAAGTACTGTGATTCAGTTGAAAGCCTTGCTTTCAAAGGTATAATTAATTTAATAAGTATAATATGTTTTATAAAATTTTTTATCATAAAAAAACTTTCAGATGGCTTCAGCTTTAGAAATGCCATTATTACGAATTAATCAAATAAAAAGTCCGGACTTGGCCTCTGTCTCTCAGTATTATAGTAGAGAGTTGGAAAGTTATGCAAGGCATGTTTTACAAATAATTCCTGAATCAGTATTTGCAATACTCGCTCAGATTGTAGATCTTGAAACTAATGTATTTCATGAAATACCAAGTAAATTGCATAAAGATAAAGTCAAAGATTATGCTCAATCTCGTGAAAGGTTGAAGGTAATGAGAACAACTAAATAAAATTTTGTAAAAGATTTCATAAAGTTATTTTGATTTTATAGATGGCAGAACTAACATATTCTATTTCAATTTTCACAAATGGTATGCTGTCTCTGGAAAGTGTATCGCTAGGTATTCTCAGAGTAGACTCTCATAGACTCTTAGAAGATGGAATTAGACAAGAACTTGTAAAAAAAGTTACTTTAGCTTTACACAATAGTCTAGTTTTTGATGCTAAATCGAAGGTAATAAATTAATTTTTTCTTCTAAAATATGTTGATATCTTGACATTAATTTAAATTAATAATTTCAGGATTTATTGGTCAACAAATTGCAAGCTTTATCAACTGTGATGGATGGGTACAGAAAATCATTCCAATATATACAAGATTATACAAATATAAATAGTTTAAAAATCTGGCATGAAGAAGTAGGTTTTGACTCATTTTATTTTGCTAGTTTTTTAAATATATCGTAATCTTTTAAGTTATTTTCTCATTGTACAGATTTCATACATTATAAGTAAAGCAGTGGAAGAAGAATGCAAAGGTTCTCTATGGATTCCAGGTAAACCATGGTTATTTTTGCCAGAAGAAAAACCAGTGATTAATTTACAACCGACGGATTCAAATTCACAAACCTTTATGGGTAGACTTGCCAGAGAAATAACTCGCATTACGGATCCAAAGTAAATATATATCAATTAAATTTTTGTTTTTCGATAATTTTTCTTTAATCAAACAATTTTCTAGAACAACCATGTACGCGGAACGAGAATTTATTTGGTACGATCTGAAAACTCAAGCCGAGGTGTCGAATCATAAAATCTTTTCAATGATTTTACAAGCAATGGATGCACCCGGGCTTATAGGATTGGATAAAATATACTCGTACTTTATAGCAACTGAAATTCAAAGAACCGTGAAGTTTATTGATAGTGGAATAAAAAGTAAAACATGGGCCAATACATTGAAAGAATGCGAAACATTCCAAAATTCCGATAATTTAAAAGGTACTGCATTTATATTTATTGCTGGGATGATTGATTAGGGCCGTTCGGATTTGTAATAATAATTTATGTTTTAGGTAATAGAAGTCGATTTTTACTTCTGGTTAACAACTTGGTAACAAAATCGTGGGTGCAGTTATTCGATTCAATACTAAAAATTGGCCATTGGCAGCTGTTAAGGCAAAAAATATCCTGCCAATTAAACTCTGCTAGTCAAAGCGAGGCTCAAGATATAGAAGCTTCATTAAGAACTTTAAACGAGTAAATTTTGTATTATTATTACTTTTTTACAATTTTCATTAAATTTAAATCATTAAAAATTTTATTCTAGTGCTGTGTTAGCAGAAGTAGAAGAGAAAGGTCTAAATTCTTTTGAACCAGAGTTCCTGAATGAATTGAGTGCAATGTTAGTGGCTGTTGGAATAACCGATGTAAAAAATAAAATTTACTTTCAGCCGCCAAAAATGAATAACATAGATAATATCCTGTTTTTATTGACCGTGCCACAATTGCATAAAATACATTTTTGTAAAAATTTAGGTAGGTTGAAAATTATAATTAATTTTTTCAGTATAACAAATAAATTTTAAATTCATTTATTACAAAATTTATAGCATATTTAACAAGTAAAAAGATTCAAGATCCAGTTGATCCAATAATACTAATTTTGGGTCTACAAACGTTTTTGAAGCAATTCGGAATAGATTATTTGAATTCTTTTGTAACGCTTGTCAGTAAATATATTTTATCGTTTATCGAATCAGACTGGTAAGATGAAATTGTTTAAAATAAAAAAATGGTTTGATCTTTCTATTCACAAACTCGAAATTTTCAGCTCAAAATTATCCGATGAATTCGAAACTGAAACAATTGCAGGATTGCGCTTTTTGGAACTTTTTACAAAGCACGCAGGGATTTCTAAAAAGTTAATTTATCAAACCATTCCCATACTTGCCTGTCACCATTACGAAGTTAAATTACTTTTGGCGAAGTGAGGCCCTTGTGCGACTGCCTTTATAACTGTTTCATATTCTAAAAAGTTGTAAATAATACATTTATAATTTTATATCAAATTTTTGTGATTAAAGAGAAAAAATAAAAGAAAACACAGTCATTGTGATTAATTTTTTTAAGGGTCCATTCATTTATTAGATATTAATTTTATTACACTATCTATATATCATATACTCATTAGTACATTCGCATCTCGAATAAGATCGCAGCCTCTCTCATCACATGATATTCAATGATGTATTTATGTATAGCATTCATCATTATAGTATGTCCATTGATAAATTTTGCAAAAGGTAAGCGCCTCCTCGATATAGTTGCGAAAGTTGGCAATGTCTTTCAAAAATTCAATCTAATCGATGACTGCGTGCGTTTTTCCTTATAAATCAATTATCATTGCGTAATATTTTATATAAATTAAAATTGAAATGCAGTGGAGTTGCAGTCGCATTGCACACATCGAAATATGCGCACGGAAATGAATCTACATCGTCATCAATGGTGCTATAATGATTAATGCATTTTTTATCCTTTTTTTTTGTTAATTTTTTTTTTAGCTTCTAAGCCTATTCGAGTAGCGACGGAATCAATTAATCAATCTTTAGCAATTGACATCGAAAACTGTTGAAATTTCCACGCAACGTATGTAGCAAAGCGATGATTTTCACATTTGCCGTCTCGCGCGTGCGATCGTGCATGTTATACAATTGTTGCAAACTCGCGAAGAGCTGCGCTCGCTTCGGTTATTATAATGATCAACGCCATTTTATTCATATGTATACATCAATGATTATCGTCGTACAATTCGGGCAAGATGTTTGTAAACAACGAGAAAATTAATGAATGAAAGAAAAAACGATTTCTTCTTCTTTTTTTTTATTATAACGTAGTGTTTCGCCTTCGATTACGATAACATAACAAACGATATGATGTCGCTCGATATCAGACCAGCTGTAAATGTCGAGCTTCATTATGAATAGTTTTTTTTTAGCTTACTTACATTCTAAAGTCATACATATATATTTTTGTTTGTATCCTTCATATCGATATCTAAATACGTAGCGTTATATAATATTCAATATTTATGTATATTATTTATAATATTTCATCAATGCAGTGGCGCACGCAATGGAGTTGGAAAACGTACTTTTGCCTTCTTTTTCTGCTTGCTACAAATTTGAAATACCGTTTGAAATACCCTTTTCTCGACGATTAAGTACGCGATTTCGAAGATCGCACCGTAAACGCGCTATATTATGCTTTTTTAAAAGATCATTTCGGGTGCGCCAATACATATCATTATACCCTTTTCTCTGGCATCACCTGCAGCAGTATGCATTATATTGTGTGTGCATGTTTTTGCATACACACGTGTGTAAGTTTTTTATTCTTTTATTATTATTATTTTTCTTTTTTATAGAAGTTTGTGGTCCATTCGATCATTGAAGCCAACTACTAATTATAGCTCGATCGATTCCATATCAAAACTTAATTAAGATACTTAGTTCAACTAATTGGCCGAAAAATTTACACGACAAAGTGAATTTTTTTTCCCCGATGAAAGATAAAAATCGAAACGCAAAAAGATTTTTCTTAAGGATATGCAAGCAATCTCTCGTTCTCTTTTATTGACAAATTCAGAAGAATTTCTTTGGTTTTTTTGGTTGACAATAACGCATTGGAAATGAAAAAATTGGACGCAACGTGTATATGAAAGGCAACGATCGTCTCTACGTGAAGAATTTATGGCACGAAACACAAAACATAATAAAGTAGCTATTATACTGTTAATGAAGTGGATCGATCAACTTTGTGATATTCGCTTCCTGAACTGCGTGTGTGTATTATACTGATCTGCGTAACTGAATCTATCCTGAGCTTTTTCATCTAGTTTCAACTAATCTCTTATTAGCGCAATTTATATTTTCTCATAATGATGAAGTAATAAACTTATGATATGTAACACACGTGGTAGTTTTTTTTTGTTTGTTAAATATTATAAATATCAAATTTTTTTTAGATTTTTTTTTCAAGGAATCGGCAAATCATTCTTAAATTACTCATGCAGTGCGAGTCATGCGATGACGAGTACTCATCGACTTCACACCCGCAAACGCCGGATTCAACACACATTTTCATGGAGAAAATCCGAGCAATAATATTTGTCTTCGACAGACGAGTTGAATAGTTTAGTATGTATCATTTATCATTTATTTATATTTAGATTTACCATGCGTTTTTTTGTTTGTTCTTATCAATTACGTTCATAATCATTATTGGATATCCTGTATCCATTTGACTTATACATATATAAATAAATATATTTATATATAATCATTTCGAAACGATCCTGATGCATTCCGCTGTTACTTATTTATAATAATTATTTTTTTTTTTTACTTTTATCGAGTTTATCGAGTTATACTTTTCCAATGATATCGTTTAAAGCATAATAAATTGAGCAGCACTTTGTCGAATCGATTCGGTGCTTACCCCGAGCTGTTACTGCGCACAGTAAAAACTGGGCATTTACGTTCGGAAAAGTTCTCCATAATTTATGTCTCGTTAATGTTTTCTCGGTGGATGAATTTAAAGTCATCATGCGATTTCGGTCGTATACAAAACATTGTAATGCCTTTTACTGGTATATAATTATAGGTAATTAGTACGTAATGACACATTAGTGTGTAATATAAATTCGAATTGTATACAATATAAAACATTCAATGAAAGTAATAATTTGTATAAATTTTGTTTCGATAGCCAAATGACTATTTAATTTATGATATACATAAAGTAAAGTAACCGTGTCGATTTTACTTGGCGAATAAATACTTATTAGATTTTTTTTTAAATTAAATTCAATACTTTAACGATCGTACGAATGTATCGGATAGACTTTTGTTATGTGCATTATCTTTTAGGATTATAAAATCTGTACAAAGTATGTACTAAAAAACAAGCTGATTCAAAAATGCTCGTGTGCTGGGAATGTCTGATCAATGCGATTTCTGTACCATTTTTTTCCTTCAGTTTCCGATTACTCATCTATCGAGCACAATGCATCGCTTCGCATAAAGATTTTACTTTAATTTTAATTTCGTACTTTATTCTTCAGTTATTTTTTTTTTATTTTCGTAGAAAAAATGTTCACCGTGCAATATCGCTCGTTAGAAAATCTTTGTGTTGTACTTAGCCTTGAATATTTGAGGCCTGTAAAATCTACAATTATGTATTTAAGTATCGATCTAATTTGTCATTTGTCAATGAAAACGAGACGAGAATGACGCGTGCGCGAGACTGAGAAAAAAAAATGAGTGTGAGACACACAAAAGTAGAGTATATTATTCGTGTAAAAACGAAGAGTCGACGAATTAAAATAACAGTGGGCGATTCTTTTTTCTTTTTTTTTTTAGTCGGTCCTGCCGCATATTTATCGCCCCGATATAATAGATATGAAAATAGAATGACGCGATAGCAAAGACAAACACTTGCGACATACTTTCAGGCAAGCATTACCTATGCATGGTCCGCAGACACGCAGTTTATTATTCTTCTTTTTTTTTTTTGGTAAAATATGCGCACATACTTGCATACATGCAGCCAAACAAGCTCAAATATTCTTTTATTTCAAATACAACGGTTTGACATTGTAACGCGCAATGTTTAATTTTAATGTCGAATAATTGTGCATTCAGACAATACCTATTTATGCAAAATAAAGTTTTTTTTTGCTGTAAAACCTCATTTTTGGTTCTCTTATAACTTATCAATAGAAATAAGTACGATAGTAATTTATTCACAAGTATGATTCACAGTTAAAAGTGTGTAAATGTGAAGGTATCGCTTTGGAAAGAGTCGTCGAAAAAACCACGGGGGTTTTGTTTTCTCCTACACATAAAAATAGTAAAACTAAATCGTACTTGACTTAATTCGATTTGTATAATAACTCAATTCATTAAGCATATGTATCAGGAAATACGCATGATAATACTAAATACAGCTTGCATTCAGATTTCTGATAACGCTCAAACGCACACTCTGTTACTTTTTATTAGTTGCATTCTCATCACTTACTTGCTAAACGCCTTGATAAGCATCTGTTCATCAAGGTTTCTTTTTTATTCATTGCCATTTAATGTTTTACAGTATGCATTGATACTTTTCTTTTATTCTTTCTTTATCCAGTTCATTATTTACTTTGTCGGTTGTGAAATTGTTTTTCGTTTAAATAATTTGGAAGTGTCACAGCTTAACTTTAGACTTATTTCGAGAAACCGTATGGTTTGTAAAATTCAATTTTTGTGCCCTTGTATGCCTGCGGTTAAATAAAATTGATGAATCGAAAATTTTGGCAACTCCTTAAAGTATCGATTAACTAAAAACACACTCGAATTGATCATTTTGAAAAAAAATAATAAAAATAAATTTGTTTTCATAAAATTTTTGAGTACTTTGTAAAGGCGGTCAAAATTGTAACTGGTTTCATTTTAGAAAATTGTAATGACCTAAAATGAAAAATTAATTATGCATTACGTAAGGTAGTGAGATATTTGAGAAACTTTTTTGAATTAAAAAGTTTTGAAAGGAGACGATTATTCTATACTTCTACTTTTAGTTTTCCACAGAGTATAGTATTAAGTGATTTTTTTTGTAGCTCTCAGTGAATCTGCAGAGACGATTATGTTTTTAAGGAGTATATAAGTACGTTTTTAAGTTATACTTTTTCTCGTAAATAATAGTTTTGTATCGAAAGATTTATCTATACGTCGCATGCTTTATATTTAAGAAAATCATTTAACAATCCTTTTTTTTGTTGAGTTAAAAAAAATTTTCAACATTTTTATCAAAAACAGTTTGATTGATTAACACTTTGAAAAGTAAACAAAAACAATCTTATTATACAGTATCATGTAAAAATTACAGTAGGCAGTATGTCGTAAAACATCTCAATTGTTTGGTATTCGATTTAAGACAAGTTCAAAACACTCAAAAGTATTTAAAAATTTTTAATTCACAAAAATCTATAAGTAAACATGAAAAGTACTTAAATTGTTGTACTAAAACATAGAGAAGAACATCGGACAGCTGTGAATTGTAGAATGAAGAAAAGTAAGTATCAATAACAAATGTTTGTAATAAACATATAACGGAAATGATTGTCCTACAATTCACTGTTGTCGTCACGCTTTTGCACAGAGGCTCTTTGCCTATGATTGCAGTCATATATAATCAATATATAGACATTAATTATTTGTTGTTAGCTCGGAGAATAGAATATTATATCTTTATTTCAATTGTAGACTTCAATGATTACATGAAAACATGCCTATCTATTTTTTACTGTGACACGAGCCGATCGCATCATTTCAAAAGTTGCATTTAATAAACTCGTAAGTTCAAGTCGTTGCCAATATGCATGGATGCGTCTACGTTCACATTACACCTTCGTAAAAAATAAATAAATTATTTTCAAATAAACAATACTTTAAATTACTTTCAATATTAGTATTCATATATGAAAAATTAATTTATCTTACGACCTATTCTTTAGTCAACACAATACTATATATTTAGACATAAAAATGCAAGTGATCGAAAAATCACATTTATCATTTACCTTTTCACGTTATTTTTTGAGATATTTTTATTCAAAGAATTTTCTGAGATTTTTTAAATATGATTATTATTTATTATTATAATCATTATCATTACGATGCGATTAAACACGGGTTCAGAAAAAATTATTTTTTCAAAGTAGGATCTACCTACAAAAATTCGATAAAAACTAATGATGCAATATAAATGATACAGTATAAATTATTCTTGAATGGAAATCCGATTTACCCATCTCTGTAAAGATTATATTGTCAGCATTCTTAACGTAATGAATAATTAAAAATTACGACATATTTGATAACAATCAATCACAATTATAGTGGTTTTATTAATTATAGTACAAGCCATATTTTTCTCATTATTTACCCAGCATATGCCCTCAGGATTATTTAATAACTCAAGCATAGAAAAATCCTGATTGGTATTTATAAGCCAAGTACTTGACAAAGAAAAGCTTTCAATAACATGAATTCAATTTAATAATAAAAAACAGCCTTACAAGCTTAAATACTTTGAATAATGATGGCAATAGTTATACCAATAAAAATTAACTCATTTGTGACAAAAGTAATGTTTAAAGGCACACAACAGACAAAGTAGAGAATCGTTAGCAGGAAAAGGATATAAATATTGTGAAACACCAAATTTATCCTGCTTGATTAAACTAATATGTTTCCTAATTCTAAATAAATATGGAAATTATTTTTAGAATTTTCTCTTTAAAATTCTTACTTTTAACAGCAAGTGTACCTTTGGACTTTCTAGTACGAAGGAAGCGAAATTCTGCCAGCGAATCGCTTTTCACGTGAGAATTCGGATTATCTAAGCACCAATTTTTCACGTATAAATTTTTTTTCTTTTATATATCTTTTTGTTTTCATCAATAAAAATTAACCAATTGCAACGAAAATTGTTTCAACACAAGTAAAACTGATGGCACTAACAACTTAAGAGAAAACTAAACTATATGCATTCACATTAAGAAGTTTTTCTTTACAAAAACTGTACTTTCCACTGCTTTCCAATTGAATACAGTCTTTATAAATATTTTTCATGGCGTGTTAGACACATATATTGAAAACTAAATGTTCAATTTTCGCTTATTTAATACTATAATTACAACTTTAGGTGTAAATGCTGCAACTACGAAAAATGATCTAATGATAAAATGTTTTTATAGTGAACAGTCGTAAGAGTTTTTTTTTCATCTTGAAAGAGACTCTCAAAGTACGCGGATGAAAATTCACAAATGGGTAGTAATATTTTGCGCGCCTCGCTGCGTTTTATGTTTGTGTGTGCGGGCGAGCGCGCGCTCGAACATGCAAATGTGTAGATCTGTGTGTGTGTGTGTGTGTGTGTGTCTGTTTGTGTAAAGAAACTGATGCTTTTTATACAGCGACCGTACAGATTGCATAAGGAGAATCGATTCATCGAATGTCGGATATTTCGGTTTTACTGCCGAATATTTTGATTAACTGATCTTCGTAATCGTCAATGTTACGCTTCATGAGCTCCATGCACGGCCCTAGAAGACGCTCGAATGCTTCGACGTCCAAGACTGCAAAAATAACGAAGAAAAACATATCGGTATTTTTCACAATTTGTATTTTTTCTTCCTTCTTGCATCGCAAAAAGAAGTAAAAAAAAATAATAAAGCCAGAAATAGTCAAACGACAGAGAGAAAGAGAGAGACGTATTCGAGGCGGACGCTGAGTGCAAGTATAGAAGTAAGCAGTACTTACAGGCCAATTTGACGGTGCCAACAGCGTACGCCGAAGCCGCTCTGGGTTTATGAGTCACGAGAGCGAGCTCGCCCAAATAACCCCCGGCTGGTATGCGATTTACCTGCAAAAAAGAAGTGGAGAAGGTAGAGTAAAAAAAAATTACTTCGATATCGATAAATGCGGCTCGGTATGAGAGTAGGAGAGAGAGAGAGCGAGTGAATTAATTCTATTTAAGTATTCCTCTACTTACTTCGACTTCGCGTCCGTTGTCGCCGACAATCGTAATTCGAACTACGCCCTGCTCGACGAAGTACATGCCGTCGGCTATATCACCTTGTTTAATTATTTGTTCACCGTCGTTGAAATGTTTCGGAACGAGGGCATCGGCTAAATTCATCCGTTCGTAAGCCTGTGTGCGCGTTGGAAAACAGAAAGAAAATTTTTTTTAAAACGTCTCAAACGCTATTTTTTCACATCTCTCTTTTTTTCAGTAATTTTATTTTTAGTCGATGCAAATGCATCTAAAAAAAAAAGCCTTACCTCGAGCGACTTGAGCATGGGCACTCGGTTAATGAGATCCTCGTACATCTTGCGCTTCTTGTAGGCGGACTTGAGCAGTATGCGTCGGAAGGTCTGGCGGTCCATGGCCCAGAGCGTGCCGGGACTGATGGCTTTGACCGTGGCCGCCCTGGGCATGTTGTAGAGCAGCGCCAGCTCTCCGAAGGCGCCGCTGTTGTCGTAAGTGTGAATCAGCGAGTCTTTGACGTAGACCTCGAATTTGCCACTGTGGGAAATGGGGAGAATGGGAATTGATTACTCGCAAAACCGCACGCGATTAAGAGCAGCAGACGCGTTGCGCGTTTTGCTTTTCAAGTACTCGAGACGTGTTTACAGTTCACCGAGTTTGAGACGAGAGTGAATTTTCCCGCAACGATACAAATGAGTTTCGTTCGTTAGAATGGATTAGTAAATAATTTCTTACGTTTCGATGACGTAAAAATTGTCGCCGTCGTCGCCCTGTCGGATAATGAAATCCCCGGTTTGCACAGTCTTTTCGAACATGGCGTCCAGTACACCTGCCATCTGTTCCTGTGAATGCAACGACAAAACAAATTAGCATCCGATATCTTCACTCGCGTCTATTTTTGCGAAAACATTTATTTTCACTCGTGCTTGCGCGATACTTACTTTATCTAGCGCGCGGAAGAGAAGGATATTTCTGACGCTCTCGCCGAGTCTCTGGCGCTGCTCGTCGCTCTTTGGGTGAACGATCTGTAACAGAAGAGAGAATTGCACACGGCGATAAATCAATGAATGCCTCGAGGGATTTATAGAGTATAATATATATCAATGACCAAGAGAGAGTTCGTCGTCGCGGATTTTCCGTCGCTCGGGTGTCGAACGGGCAGAGAGAGAGAAGAAAAACGAAAAAAGGAAAGCGCGCGAGACAATTGAATTTTTAATGCAGCCTCTCGATGGTAATAAACTGTGACGCCAGGACTGAATGCAAAAAAAAAAGAAAATTGAACGAGGTGGAGACTCACACACACGTGTCACGCGTACGCCTAGCTTCCGAAAAACGATTTATCATTTGCCGCGTGAAATTATTATGCACGTAATATATAGGCGCGATTGGATTATCATATATATATACGTGCGCCTATTTGGCACTGTTTCAAAATTTCAGGCTTTCTTTTTTCCGGTGTTTCGCGCTTATGCTAATTTCGTTACATTTATATATCGTTGACTCCGAAAGTGGAAGAAAACGAAGCCAGTAAGGCGAGCTACGAGAGCTTTTACTTCGTGCATTTGTTACCAATGTCTCGGTCAAATATTAGCCGAGCAACAATTATATTTGCAACGCAGAACCTCCTCCGACTAATGATTCGAAAATGCTACGCTTCTTACATACGTACGCTTTTGTGAATTCGCGCGCAATTCCCTTGAAAAACGAAAGTCAGAAGAAGAACAAAACGTATTTCTGCTAATAACCACGGCGTCTGTGTTGAATCAAGCTCATAACAGCCGGTAGCAGCAGCAGCAGCGGTAGCGTAACGTGTTATTAATTTTGCAGCGCCGCTTTAATACACGTTGTTTATGCAACTCGTAAATATAAATACATACACGTGTTTATAATTAAGGCGTTCGCGAGTTCGCGCGCGTAAACGCTCGGTTTGGTAAATGTTAGAATTATCGAACGGCCGCGTGTATTTTTATAACGATGATAATAAAATGCCCCGAGGAGAGAGGCCAATCATCGAATTCCGAGATTTCATTGAGATGAATAAAAATGATCGGCTCGTCGATGTCGCGGCAGAACCAGCCGAGCCGAGCTTTATAGAGTTGACATTATTATTTTTATTATTATCATCGTTGTTAGAACCTTTTTATCGATACCGATATTGTCTTCGATTGCGGTGCGACTTTGTGCAAGCACTTTTGGGCAGCCTCCTCAAAAAAAGTAATAAAGCAAAGCGAGCACGAGAAACAGTAATGAATATAAAAAGTATTGATATACAATCATATCTTATACAATCATTGTGACTTTGTCACTTGCAGATTTACAGAAAAATTGGTACTCGCCATCTAGCGGCGAAGGTTCAAACTAGTATCATCGTATTAATGTGGTTGAGAACTGATCTCAGTTTTACAAAATAATTAAATTGTCCTTTTCAGGTCAAACGAGACGAGTTTCAGTAAACGTAACATAATTTTTACAGAAAAATTACGAAAAACGATTATTTTAAAATGATTGAAATGTTTTTTTTTAAGCGGTCATCAAACCTTTATTAAATTCGTGCATTTCTACCAAGAAAGCCCTGCACACAGTACATTGTACATCGTCGAAATAGGCGAGTGAAAAAGCAAATTAAGGAAAATATTTCACCGGGGTGCTTATTAAACACGTGTGTGCGCGCGCGCGAAGGAAAGCAAACGACGAAAGAAGAGGAGAAAGAAAAAAGGGAAGAAAAAAGAAGAAGAAGCGAGAGAAAGAGGCTCGAGTCGCGAGGGACGGTACGGTGAGCATGAGCAGCAGCACAGGCAAAGCACACACACACACCCGAGTATTTTAATGCACACACATGCGCTCATTTTGCAAAAGTTTTGGTATGGTTGTATGTAGGTACATAACGGCGGCGGCGGCGGCGGCATCGTGACGTTATAAAGGTGAATTATGCGCCCGGTCGGGCAAAGTCACAATCCTATCCGCAACGAAAGAGATGAGTGCCTACGTACATAGTATGATATACATGTCTCTGTGCATGTTAGCATCGTATCACGGGGGTAGTAGTAGTAGTAGTAGCAAGTATAACGTCGTCGTGCGCGCCTTCGTTTTTACATGCGCAACACACATACAAGCCGCGTATACAGGTACGAAGAGAAAATGAGGAGGGAAAACGAGCTCTTGCTCGGCCGCCCGCTCGCCTATGTGCACACCCACCACATCGTGTAGATATGTATACCGTATAATATATGTTGGCCACTGTCGCAATTGCTTCACGCTACATCGAGCAGCTCCGTCGTCGTCGCCGGGGACACGACGAGAGGGCTGTTGTGTGTCGCGTCGCGTGTTCTCCGTCACCGACGAGTAGAGAGAAGAAAAAAAAAGGGAAAAAAAGCGAGCGAACGCAAAAGAGAGCTTGCGACTCCTCTCGACTTTATGTGTATAGCATCTACGACGTAAAGCACACAGCTCTAGCACGCTGAAGCTCTGCAGCAGCAGCAGCAGCACATACGCTCGCGCACCATCGAGGCAGGCAGGCAGGCAGTAGTGGTAGTTAGGCAGATAGTATTAGTAGCAGTCGTACGTGGTATAGTAGAAGCGAAAAGCTCCGCCGCGCACACACACACACACACGCTCGCAGAGAGCGGCGCGCTTGCAATTGAGCTCGACGACGACGATGACGACGACGCTCGCGCTAGATCCATGTATAATATCGATGTTTATAAGCGCTTTCTAGCGCGCTCCAATTTTTTTCCCTTTTTTCTCTTTCTCTCCTCTTCTTTATTTTTTTCCCTCCCTTCTTTCTTTTTTTGTCGCTCATCGCACCGACGAGCACCAGCAGCAGCAGGAGGAGGAGGAGGATGACTGTTACCCGCGCTCACGTACTCTTTTCTTTTTTTTTTATCTGTTTTTTACCACGCATACACACACATACATACATGATCAAACGCACGTATACGTACACCACAAGCGTGTGCAGCAGCAGCAGTTATGTACGAATACACATACGTTTGACGTTGGCTGCTGTTGCATGTGTCGCGCGAAAAATGCCGACAAATATCTCCTCTCTCCCGACGATCGATTGAAAAATTTTTATATACATCGGAACGCGCGCTAGCTAGCTAGGCTCTCGAGCCGCACTCCATGTCATGTATATACCTATATATATCGACGCGTATATAACACGCTAGGCTGCACAACAAGGAGTGTATCGATCAGAGAGCGGCTGCAACGACGGCGTCGGTGCTTATCCAATATCCATATTCAATATATCGCGTGGACATCCATCGTGTGCCGCCGCCGCTGCAGCCGTGCGGTGTCGAGTGCGACAGCCCTATACATATATATAATATATAGACATATATTGCGAGCAAGTAATGCATGCAACTTGACAAAGCTACATCGCTGTATACGATCGTATAAAGGGAGCACCGGGAGACTATATTTTTCGTGATAGATATATATACATTGGCAGCGTCCTATAATGCTATGAACTCCAGTCCGAGGTTTGTTACATCGAAAGAGAGCCGGAGCAAGCTTCGCCCGAATACACACACACACACACAGACACCTACACTCGGGTATATATACATAAACATGGCGCCGAATATTATCGAGCGCTTGATAACGAGGTGCCGAGAGCGAGAGCTGCAACGTTATATATAGCGCGCTTGCGATGCTTGCGGGAGAGAGCCTCTCTCTCTCTCTCTGCGCCTCGCTGTAGTATACAGTCGATATAAACGTACACCTACGTATTCGCTCGTTATAAACGTAGGCGTGTATAGGTACACATCCTTGTAATATACCTATATATACGTAAATCGGGTTTGTAACACACATGTGCCGCTGCTCGGTCGAGTCGGCCGGGTGCCAGGAATCGTCGAGCGGCAGCGAGCCCAGCAGCAGTATTATATATACCCCCGTGCGCAAGAACTGCCGCTGCTATTACAGCGTGTATAGTATAAAAGGAGAGAGCTTTTCGAACTTGGACATTTTTATTTCCTATACGTATTACTGTTTCGCCCTTTGTATCGCTCTCCCGGGGGCTTGGGGTTTTTTTTGCTACCCATCACTTCCCTTTTTTTTCTCCTCCTGCTTCGTCCGAGAGCAGAGCACGAGCGAGCTTGCGCCAGGGGGGAGGCCACGCGCGAGCCAGTGTGTATGTGATTATATACATATACGCACACCTTTCGGCGATTGCGCACAGCAGCACACGCGTGCGAGATTATATTATATACGCACACTCTCGTACACGCACCCAAGTGTGTGTACGTACGTGCGTATGTGCGTACACACGTTGGATACAGAGTAAAAGCTCGCGCAGGGAACCTCGCTTCTATATTTATTTGTTCTTTGTATTATAAAATACGTGCGCGCACGCGTGACGGGGCCGAGAGAAAGAGACGGAGCTTTTTTATTTACCTTTAGTCATATAGATATATACATACAGAACGCGTTGTCTTCCACATAGCCGGAGCAGCGAGGGAGAGAGAGCGAGAGAAGTGCTACTTGTTGCCGATGTTGCCTACATATCATCCCGTATATATACGCGTGTGTGTGTGTGTGTGTGTGTGTGTGGGTGTGCTATGCGCGCGCCCAATACATATGCTATATATATATATGTAGCGCTTCTCCACCCGCTCTCCCTCTCTCTCTCTCTCGACTCCTATATATTGGACCTGTTTTACTTGGATGCTTTTTCTAACGAGTATTAAAACTGAATATCAATGAGCATGTGTATATGCCGTCGAGCCGAGCGGACAAAGGGCTCGTTCGGATACGCTTGACGTCGCTCGCCCAATCGACCATCATCGACGTCGGTCTCGTTTTCCCAACAACGACGCTGCTCTGCATACACATACACACACAACAACAACCTCTGCCCTGCACAAAATCGAACACTCGTTTATATTTATCATTATTATTATCTGGTTATAGTCTCTCTTATTTCGCGATTTTTTTATTTTAGAGATTTAGAATTTTGACGTATGTTTATTTTCACGTTTACGCAAATCGATTGTGTTCGTTGTACGATCTTTCGTTATCTAATAAATTAGAAATTAATTGACTTGTATGTGGAGAGCAGCAGCGACAGCAGCAGCGCGTTTCGAAACCGAGACACTGCGAAAAGTAACGCAATCGTGGCTCATTCATGTTGTACATCTTTTTTTTTTTTTTTTTCTTCAATGAAAAGAGAATAATAATAAGGACGAATAATTACTTTAATTGACAACAACATAGAGACAGTGGTCGCGAGCTTCTGCGTATTGACGTTCGACGTATACGTGTATCGTATTTGTGTATGTGTACGCGATAGTAGTAGAGCGCGTCAATTAAAGTCGCCCAAAGAAATGCTCGATGTGAAATTATTTGGTTCATTGAGCAGCAGCAGCAGCGGCGGCAGTTGATCAGATTGGCAATTAAAAAACTTGCCTGCCTGCGTACAATATTCAATTCATTTCTATTTTTACTAATTGAAATGTTGTTGATCGGTATACACTATCCGAACGCGAGCATTTCTTCGTCTTTGGAATATGATATCCATTATATATATTTTTTTTCTTTTGCAACAATATAATGATTGACGCGATGACAATTATTACTCGTACGTCAAACTTTTTTATTATTATGAACGAAATAAAAAAAAAAAATCTTCGTATGAACAATACGGGATTCGATATCTTTTTCAGCTGGCGCACATTTGTATTATTGACTGACGTCACGGTATCAGCAGCGACGTGATAAGTTGTCATAATCAATATCATAAGCTCCGGCGTGGCTAAGAAAATCGTAATATACGCGATATTCTCGTCAAATCGCGCCGCAGCGGCGCTCTATATATCGGAGTGTGTATATTGACATTATTAATTAGTCGGATAATTTTTCAGCGATAAATTTGCGCTTCTATTGATATAATTATTGTCTCGCATGGGAAATGGTTGCACAATCGGCGACGGTGACGAAGCTTACGACGCCGTCGAGCTTTTCGTTATAAGCACAAACCAAGCGGAAAAATAAACACGATTCGTATATATATATAGCATAAATCTGCCATCGTTGTCGTCATCGCGATAATATAATCGAATCCTTCGAAACAAAACGATAGAGAGGAAGGGAGAGGTCGAGATGAAAAATTGATGAAAATAAAGAATGAAAAGAAAAAAACGGTTTCTGTCGAGCAAAGCTCCAAAGCCCATTGGACGTTTCGCGCAAGATCGCGTCTTCTCTTTTCATTCTTTCTTTCTTCTTTTTTTGTTTTATCTAAACGTGTACAGAAGCAGCAGTAGCGGTAGCGCATCGGCTTACTGACCCCGGCTATATATATACAGATCGTGCGCAGGCTGTGTAGCTATATCGCCGCTGCAATGTGCAATAATAGAAAAAGAATGTAACACTGGTGAATCGCATGGCTGCACCGCGAACTGCTGCTGCTGCTGATGCCACAAAGCCTATATACTAGTGCTACACATGCAACGAGTCGACGAGACTCGCGTAATACATACATATACAGCAACGTTCGTTATTTTCTCGATGTGGTCTTTGCGTTTGTACGCAAGTCGACTTCAATGGAAACAAGAGAGGAGGGCACGGATGAAAAATAAAAGATGTACGCAATTTTGCTCGTTATGTATAACCGACTTTGTACAACAGTAGTAGCCGACGCGCGCGCGGAAATGAGTACGAAAGAGAAAAGGAAAAATTCATCTCGTTCGTTAGGAGCACAATCGCGTTTATGCAAAATATGCAAGATAAAAAAAAAAAAGAAGAAAATATCACCGAAAGAAGGCGAGTGCGTACGACAATTGAATTATTCTCAACGCTTCTCGCAAAGTCTAACAGTGCGTTCGTAGTAGCAGAATATGCCGAGGTAAATGCAATGCTACGATACCCTCATAAAATCATCACCTTCTGCCAGGGTTTTGCTAGGATTTTATAAAGAGTGAATCGATAGCTTTCTTAGAATGAGATTCCACTTAGAAGGTTCTGCTACTCTGACACACGAAGCCTCCGTATAACGAGCTCACAGTTTGAGAGTATGTCGATCACGCCATATTTCCGAGCCGAGAGTGCGTCGGTTTTAGCGCCGGTGTTGATTCCGGTCATAGTCGCGGTATTTGCCGCGACATTATACCGGCACGCAGCTCGGCATCGTGCTGGTGTTGGTCCCGAGAGTAACCTCAGCTTAGCATGGTATTTGCCGCGACATTATACCGGCACGCAGCTCGGCATCGTGCTGGTGTTGGTGCCGAGAGTAGCCTCGGCTTAGCCCGCGACATTATACCAGCACGCAGCTCGGCATCATGCTGGTGTTGGTCTCGAGAGTAACCTCGGCTTAGCCCGGTTCAGTATATAGCGGTAGTCAGGAGTAGACTGTAGAGCCCGGAACGCGGAACGCGCGTGAACTCGGTTCATCACCCCAGGTGGCCAACTCGATGCACCAAGTATAGATATCGACCCGGCGACGACTTTCTCCGTGGAAGTCGAACTGTTTTCGCTACTCCGCCCACGGGTGACCTACTCGGTGAGCCAGGTATGAATATCGACCCAGCGACGATGATCTCCGAGGAAGTCAAGATATTTTCATTACTTCTTTCACCCGGGTACCCTAATCAGTGCACCAGGTATAAATATCGACCCAGCGAGGATGTTCTCCGAGGAAGTC